CCCGATTATATTTCTAGGTTTGTCAGCACCATACCCGTGCTCGTGGGTTTTACCGAAATGGTAAACGTCTGAGACCTGCATCACTTCGGGCTTTCCTCCCACATTAAGCTGACACGCCGCGATATGAATGGAATACTGTTAAAAGCGGTGTTAAACTCAACTCACTCACTGTCAACACAACATTGTCATGTTAAGATTTTTCAGGCTGGCAATGAGAAAAATATTTGTGATAATTTATATTTATATTCCATTTTCTCGGTATTGGGGGTTGGGGGATCATAAACCAATAAAAAAAAAGGGAAGGCCTGAGCATGATTAGGAAACAAGTTAGGGAAAAAACATCTTTGGTACAAAATGCAAACAAATACAAGCCTTGCACATTTTAAAACAGATTTTATTTCCATGTATCATAATGTTACAGGGATACCATATAATCATTATAACATAAATACTATAAATTGGTACAATCATATCCAGCATTATTTTACCTGGTGCCAACTATTGTGTTCTGTATGCATACAGATTGATAATGGAAGCAACCAATATGTACTGCAAGCAGGCAAGTGCCGTGGGACACAAAGGAGGAATCACTAAAACAGATTCAGATGCAACATTCATGTTTCATGTAACTCATACTTTCTATTCTGATAAGATAAGTTAAGGCTGTCAATGTCACATATTTCTTCACTACAAGGAAATCACCAACTTCAACTACCATATTTGCCATATTTAGCACCCTGTTCCAATAAGCCCCCCGCTCTTCTCCCGACCAACTTCTAGACCAATCTGGAAGTAATCTTTATAAGGCTTTAAAAAATAAAAGAATTGGTCCTCAGGCAATGTTCTTTTGAAAATATAGTGCAGGCGGATGTCTTCTTTTTTTTTGGGGGGGGGGGGGTTGGGGTGTTGTTCAAACTAGTATTTAACCAATAAACAGTTGTGTAATCAATAAACAGTTGTGTACAATCAACCTGGGAAAGGGCCTCATAAATGTGTTCCTACATAAGTAAAATACTGGAATACAGTATTTGACTACCGTTGGACTTGGAATATTTGAGGATTTTTAATTATTTTTTATTAAAAATGGAGAAAAAACCCGAAACATGCGGCGAACTTTATGATGATGCGGGCGGTGCCTGATAACCAAGGCTATTTCTTTTTTAGCCTAAGCGCCCCCCTTATAAGCTTTCCTACTAAGAAACCAAAACTACAAATGACATTCCATATATATTTCTGTGTATATTAGATTATTTTCCAGAAAACAGTAACATAGAAAGGGTAATACATTTTCCTAGTAAACATTATAAATTTTAGTCTTATCAACACTTGAACTAAGTTCACTATCATTTGATCTCTGAAAACAAATTTGAGTTGAGTTGAGTTGAGTTGAGTATGGTTCTAACAAGCAGCCTCTTTGTGAATTGTCTAAGAGCCCGGAGCGCTTATTATGGCAAATACAGTACAATGATAAGAAAGTCAAAGTTAGTGTGCACAAGTTACAATCCTGTCAAGTAGAGCCGCAGGTTTAAACACAGACACTGTAATCCTCAACACAAAAATAGAATCATGAAATACTGCGATGATTAATTAACTAAGATAGCTGCATGTGAAAAAGTGAAAAGGAGCCATTCCACGAAAAGGAATATTACTTACATTAATTACAAAAATTGCAAAGTGTGCTTTTCAAGAAATATCCCTTGTGCTAGTGATATACATCATCATTGAATTTTGATCACATGGTTACAATCAGGGTAAGAATTGAACGTCAGGTGACTGTCGGTGGTTATATTTAGCAATGACCTTGGTCAAAAACGTCTTAAATACTACATCTGCACATTTGTTTCTTTCAGTTTGTGCTGGTTATGTACGTACATTGCACACACACTGCTAAATATAACCTTAATATTGTCACCTGACTGCCGAAGATTACCCGGATAGTAATCACGTGATCAAAACTCAATGATGATTATCGCAAACAGTGATATTTCTTGAAAAGGGTACTTTGCAATTTTGATTCTATTTCAAGTGGCGAGGACTATATTCTATTGATCTGAGACTATAGTGCATATCAAAAGGGAAATCAAGTAGTATTCTCTCAACATCTAGTTTTTTACATAAACACTAGTCTGAAATAGATGTGGACTTGTTGGATATAACCAAAGGTGCCTACCCAGTGTTAAGTGATTAACCTCCGAGTCGAACCTCACTTTTATGTCGTGGACCCCACCAATATTATTCCTCGCATACCAACAGACATTCATAGCCACGCTACTTGTCAATTGAGATATTGCACATTACAGCTGTCTACTCACCGATCTTTGGATTTTACACATCATCAGACACAATGTTTTTCAACAAAGCCTTAAAAAACATAGTACCCGCCTAGGACGGTGGCGATAGATCTAACATATCAGCTGTCAATAAATATACTGCACGTGCTGAAACCACAACAGTAACAATATGGTAACCACGGCAACACCGGGAATATTGGGTAAATATTATATCTCACGTTATATTAATCTCTAACATCCTACACCTTGTATCTCACCAAGTATAACTGACGGAGGATAAGTGAAAATATGTCATAGAAAATATAAACAATAAAGGTACGGCTGCTGGAACCATCATCACCATGGGCGACACAAAGCCAACTGTTCTTGCTACTCTTTATCCTAGTATATACTACTCAACTTTTGATAGGGATATTTTTTATTCTTTCATGATACACAAAACTCAACGTAAAGTGTATATTTAACACTTTTTACAAAGAAAAACATGTAATTATCCCTTTCAAACACTGAGTAGTATAGTACATCACAAGTTCTTTTTCCGAGAGTCCAGAAAAATACTCAAGGTCGACAAACATAAAAAAGACATCCATGTAAAAAGTATGTTAAGTGAAATTGTTGTGCTCTATTACTAATTTGTGAAATTTGTAAACAATGAAAATGACTGAATGAAGTCAAGTCTTATCAAAGGCGTCAAGACTGCAAGTCTAACTGTATTCAACTCATTCAGCACCCTGCTTCTGTAGTTGTGTGAATCTTCCAAGTACGAGTATTTTGACAGCTTCTAGAATAGCCATAATGAGTGAGTGAGTTTGGTTTTACGCCACTTTCAGAAATATTCCACCAATATCACAGCGGGGGACACCAGAATTGAGCTTCACAAATTGTACCCATGTCTGGATTCGAACCCATTTCTTCGGCGTGGCGAGCAAATGGTTTAACCACTGGGCTACCCGACCGCCCCAATAGCCATAATGAACACTAATCATGCTAATGCATCTGTCAGAATGTTGTATTTTCACCTGTTATAAAATACTTTAAAAACATATCTTGTATCTTGATCACAACTCATTACCCAAATATGTGTATTTTATACTAAACAAAGAAGTTGAGGAACACCCGATTTTTTCATGACTATAGTTTATCTTTCATGTCACGACAGGTTAACTATAGTCATATGACAAATTGGGTGTTCTTTAACTTCTCTGATATGCTATGCTATGCTATACATTCTATTTCTTTAGTGAAATACTATTTGCTGATCTTATATTCTTGAGATAATCAATGTTAATGTTAGTTAGGTTTACTCCAGTTTACTAACATGACCAGCGGTAGAAACTAACATTTTTAGTCCACTAGTCCTTATAATGATAACATATAGCAAAACCCTTGAAAAGGGCACATTTCTACTAGTCCTTATGATACCTTTACCATTGGGCAGTTTGGCAAGGACTACAGGACTCGTGCCAGTTTCTAACGCTGATGACAAACAACATAAACCATGATAGTAAAAGTCATGTTTTAAAATATAAAAGTAATCAGGCAAGATACTTCCTTTTCCAATATTGACCTAAATGGAATTTCTTTCAACATAATTCAGTAGTCTGATAGAATAGGTCTTCAGCAACCCATGCTTGCTGTAAAAGGCGACTATGCTTGTTGTAAGATCGGGATCATAACGGGATCGTAGCGGGATCGTAACGGGATCGGGTGGTCAGGCTCGCTGACTTGGCTGATGCATGTCAACAATCCCAATTGCATGGATCTATGTTCATGTTGTCAATCACTGGATTGTCTGGTCCAGACTCGATTATTTACAGACCGCTGTCATATAGCTGGAATATAGCTGAGTGCAGCGCTAAACAACAAACAAACAAACAATCACCTAGACAGCAAATGTACAGGTGAACTCTCTACATCAATATTTTCTCCGTACTGCTCCCAGGGTGCTAAATGGTTGAACACGAGGCTTCTAAATAAAGTTACTTACATGTATCCAACATACTTCAACATGTTAAAAAACATTAGGTTCAGGCCAAAAGGCAGTCTCACAACATCACTTTGTCTGTGAATTCAAATTGTACAATATAAATCAATCTAGAAGTTAACAATAAATCAAATACATACAGATAATATCTCAGCTTCACACACAGTAATAATACCATTGTCTAGCTTCTAAAACTCATTTAATAACGTTGCTTGTGGGGTTTTTAATGCCTGTATATCTCTGACTAATCTGGATGCCTGGGCCAACTTGCACAAAGAGATCTTAGTGCTACGACTACTGAAAGCCTATGTTAAAGTATGGGAGTTACGATCATCATAGCGCTAAGAACACTTTGTGCAAGTGGGCCCTGGTCTCATCTGTCACAGGGACTCAGAAATACAATATCAATTACAAAATAATACCAGTGTCTATACATAGATTGGAAATGGTGCAGTCCCTCTTTTACATGATCTACCATCTTATAGTGTTTGAAATAAACAGCATATGTTTGTTAGATTTTTGTTACTTTTTGCACTACGCTGCACTTAGCAATATTTTAGCTATATGACGGGGGTCTGTACCAGACAATCCAGTGATTGACATCTTGAGCATCAATCCACGCATTTGGGATCAATGACATTCATCAACCACCCGATCCTGTTAGTCGCTTCTTAAAACAATCATAGTCACCTTTTACAGCAAGCATTGGTTGCTGAAGACCTATTCTACCCAGCATCTTCACGGATTCTATACTACTCAACATTAGAGGAGATATGTCACACTGTGACGTAACACAAAACTTACTGCACTGAGTATTTATGTTGAATCAACTTGAAATAAGCTGCACATGCTTCAGTTACATGCCAATATAAAAAACTATTCGTATCACAACATATTCAAGCTATCTGACACTATCCGGCCCCACCTGGATGCTCATAATCCTTATCAAAAGTTGAGTCACATACTTGAATATGCATCATCTTGGGACTCTCCACATCTTACTGACAAGGACCCCTTGACGTTCATGCTCAATCTTCAACATGTTTAATCATGCTAATGTTGTTATTGTCACTTATACAAAACAATATATTTTAGATCAATAATTTGACCCAAGCTAAAATTTGGTAACTTGGGGTGTTGGTCTGGGTAGTGTGTTCCTGGCTCCCCCCTCTGCACCCTCCTCCGCGCCTGCTATCTGGATGAGGCTCTGGTGACTGCCGGAGATGGAGCTATGTACCGCCATGGAAGCTCGGAGCTTCATCCCTGTCATCTGGAAGCCGGGGCCGGTGAGCAGCGACGGTGATGGGCTGAGACATGGGGTGGAACAGCGTGAGGAGCTGAGGTCACACTGGTCTAGGAGGCGAACCAGCTCACATGGGTTGGGGCCTCCAACCACTGGGATTTGTTCTGTTTTGTTCATCAAATCAAGAGCAGTTGTCAGATCCCACATCTGAATGCTTCCATTTGAGTGCCCTGTGAAAAGATATCGTCGAGGTCGAGATCCCATTCGATTAGAGCCTTCACATTCGTGAACACAGAATGCACTTACTGTGCTGGTGTCCACTGATTTAATCACGCAAACTCGCTGTCCAGTTGAAGACAGTCGCACAAACAGCTGGTCAGTTTCAGGGACTACTTTCTGTATGAAGACCTGCTGGTCATCCCGTTCTCCGAACGGACCAAAGTCATTTCCAGCAGAATAGCTGATATGAGGGTCAAGGTCTTCAAGGGAAACAATCTTGAAGGATGCAAGGGGTGTTGATCCAGGCTGAGTTGAGATCATTCCCCTGAAACGTGTCACACTCCAGCTTCGGACGTGATTATACTCGGAGCAAGCTGACACCAGGTGCTTCTCGGACAGCATAACCTTTGTAACAGGACTGCGATGCACTGTGAATGTTTGAAACAGTTGTGGACCATGACCAACCGTTTCTGGATGCTGAACAATGACACGAACAGTCCCCGAGCTGGTGCCGTATGCAATCTCAATCCAGTTTCCACTTAAGCTTGTTTTCGGGGTGAGGTAGACACTGAGAGCTGTAACCATATCATTATTAGGGTCCTTGTACAGTTCAGTCACCAGCAGATCATTGTCTTTCATTCTCAGAGGGAACTTCTGCATGTCAATGTAGTAGATGGAGCCATTATTACAGCCCAGGAGGAGGAAGGAGCCAGCAGTATCGTAGCTTCTTATCGGGACAACATCCTGAATCTGCCAGTGCTGAGTCATGGAATGCCAAACTCCAACTTTTCCGGTCTGACTCAGAGCTACCAACTGACTTCCAATAAAGAAAAGTGAGTCAACAGACACGTTCAGGTTAAACACACCTATTTCTCTACTTTCCCCTTCATCACTGATAGACCAAAGATGGATGAGATTTGCTGTTGATGCTGTGACCATTTTATGTGTGTTGTCTTGATTCGGATTCAGCACTTTCGCATTGATGGCTATTCTTTCAACTTGGGGCTCCATATGGGGGCTGACCCAGATGAGATGCCATCCAGTCGAGTCCTTCATTCTGTAGCAACAGACAAAGTGTGGGTAGGCTATGCATATCCAGTTATGATGTCCGCGAACCATAGTAACTCTGAGTGGATCCACAAAGGATGTATGTGTGGATGTATCCTTGTTACAGAAGGTTTTCGTCAGATCAAGGGATGAATTTCTTGAGTGGCGTAAATCAGAAGATGAGTTTCTCATCTGGTCTTTTATCCTCCAATCATTTGAACCCTGTCTTGAGTGAGATGCTCGAGCATCAAGAGAAGAATTTCTGGAATGGACAGGGCATGAAGCTGAAGCACCATCCGAAACTCTCAAAGCAGTTCCTGGTCTGCAGGGTGGTTCACTGTTGTCCAAGCTGCTGTCTGAGGATGTCGACATACCTTCAGCGACTGGCGGTAGTGGTGGTTGGAGGTACCCATGGAACAGTACATCTCCACATGAAGCGCAATCCAAGTCCTCGCATAGCATCAATCGGCGAACCAGTGGAGTGATGCCATAGAATTCGGCTTCATGTCGAAGAGCTGGAAGATCAACGTTCTTCAGATGTACCTCTTTCGTTCTCAGGAAGTTGAGGATAACAGTAAAGAGTTGTGGATCTCGGTCGATGAATATGGCATCCGTTTCGTCTTTCAGTGTTGAAATTCGACCACTCAGCATACTGGTGAAAAAAGAATCGGGGATCCATGTTAAAGTCTGACGAGAAGTGGAAAATCTGGACCCACCGACGTTCAGGTGAATTATCTCTCCAGCCATCTCCATCTTCTTCCTTCCTAAATGAAGGAGACACTCGGTCAAATCGCTGCAAAAGGTTGACGACTTCAGAATTATCGTTAAAAGGTGTGACAAATTTGACGTAAAAAGATATCCGACATTTTCTTTTTGTCATGTGAACTCCGCACTACGACATTTCCTATAGCTTATAGTACATTTTACTGTGTAGGCGCTGTTGCGGAGCTTGAATCTTTATTTAGGGAGTGTTTGCGCGATTGTTTATCTTTCTGGGAACAATGTTTTATGATACACGAACCTTGCAGACCACTTACTCGAAATACGAAAGTAAATAAACCATATGCTTTAAATAACAATCAAAACAAATGTAAACAAAGCATATCATAAACCAAAGTATTATATTAAAACATATATGGGTCACTTTCAGAGAAAAAACATAATTTGTGTAACTGGGTATGATTGCTTAAAAGCTCTCCGTGCAGACGCTCTATCCTCAAGACCACGGATGCGACCCATTACCCCTTGCAACCTCGATGACCACCTCCGTGGTCTAGCGGTAATGCGTCCGCCCCGAGAGCTGAAAGCGCCCGCGGTTCGATCCCCGGCCGCGTTAATACAAGTGCAATAATCTTGGACGCGATGTTTTGAATTAATTAACTGATATAATGATATAAACTGCCGGGGGAAAAGTAAGTATACACCCATTTTGATGTTGGCCGAAAATGAAACAAACAAGAAATGGTTATTCGATGATGATCGGAAGTATTTGATACGGGTATCATAATTATGTTTTTTACCTTACGTTTCATCGACTATTCTCAGCCTAGTAACGTTTTGATAGCGTGTGTAATTATTTGGCAAAATCAATTGTCAAATTTACTCTTTCTTTTGCTAGGCAGTTTACATCAAGAAATTGGAGTTAGCAGATAAATAAAGTGACGTTTGAACGATTTCAATAAAACTTGCTGTGACTTCTAAACTGTCTAGCCTGGCCCAGCTAAAATGGTTTCGTTATGTATGAGGTGAGGTGAGGTGAAATTGGGTTTAACGTCGCGTCCAAGATTATTGCACTTATATAGCGACGTGCATGCACGTGTATGTGTGTGTGTGGCTGCTTGTACTAGTCCGGACTGATGCCGATTTATAGTGCTAGCTCACTGAGATACCATGCCGCAGTTTAACATGAATACCCCACTCAGACACAGTATACTGACTCCGAGCCGACCAGTCCTTGTTTTAGCCCCTTAATGCCGAGCGCCAGACAGGGTAACAACAAGTACAATCTTTTAACGTCTTTTTGTATGACGCGGCCCGGGATCGAACCCTGGACCTTCCGCTCTCCGGGCGGACGCTCTACCACAAGACCACGGAGGCGGTTTCGTTATGTATGACAATAACGCATACCGTTATGAACAAACCCAACATAATTAACAAAACAAATAAACAAATATTTGTCTATGTATTTATCTTTTTCCCCATTTTAAATTCGTATTTTTAAATCTTACTATAGATTACTTAATTGACGCGTTGTCAGTTGTAATATTTAATAGTCCCCTTATTACCTAGTCGTACCTATTTGGATATATTGTCTTATATCATGCCCATGTTAAAAATATGCAATGTTTAGTTTTTATTATTTTCAATGTATTTTAAATGTGATTGTAAATATCAGTTCCCACTGTTCACAACGATTCACTGTCCTTGTAATGAGTGAGTGAGTTCGGTTTAACGCCGCTTTTAACGGTATTCCAGATATATCACGGCGTGTCAGCTTAAGGTGGGAGGAAAGCCCGAAGTGATGCAGGTCTTAGACGTTTACCACCTCGGTGAAACCCACGAGCACGGTACTGACAAACCTAGAAACATAATCGGGGTGAACCGGGATTCGAACCCACAATCATAGGTTTTTGGCGTGCTTAAGGGACGCAACTCTGCTCAGCGAATTGCGGCGCCTTAGATGACTGGGCCACCCGTGCCCCCTCATTGTAATGAAATCAACAATATTTAATGTTCCGCGCGCTGCACTGTTGAAAATCCGGAACAAATTAAATGACAGTTGCCAAGGTAACGTACATAGCGAAACTTTGCAATACCGTTATAATGGAAAATCAGTGTCAGATATATCTTTACGAATTACTTTATAGAATTAAGGCTAGTCAGCAACAAAAATGACATTTTTTCAAAGACCACAATGGTTTTAATATTGTTTTCAAATAATGTACTAGTATACCTTTTTTTAGATGACCCCGATTTGTCTTCCCATTATGACGTCACAGTTTGACTATACCTTATGACATCACAATATCAAACCATGACAAAGAAATATTTTGTTAAATTGTGCATATATTTTTACGAATTCGCCGCTTTGCATAACGTTTTTTTAACTGCCCAACAGTTTGAAATACGGAGATACAATACACAAGGTAGCATTTATGTTTCCACGCCATGGTAACCAAGGACTCGAAGTTAGCGGGTTATGACCGGCGATAGACAACACGCATGCGCACTTCCCCGGCGTCAGGTTGTCAAGAATGGAGAACTACAGGGTAAGTGGAGCGTTATGTTCGCGATCTCTTGTCAAATATTTACTGTCACCTATTATTATATTTGAAAACAGGTAGTCACCATAGTTTAGAATGGTTTGTTTTATTTGTGGTTAATTTTTTCAGATTTTGGAACGAATCGGAAAGGGTGGACAGGGGTCTGTACATCTCGTAGATCACAGAGAGGATGGAAACAGGTCTGTTTTGAAAAAGGTGAGTTCAATATCATGGCATTTATTAACACAATCTCGTATACATACTGATGTCACTAATAGCTACATACATTATGATCAGACCACCGAAACTGATTCAATCTTGAAAATATGTTTTGAATGTTTTGATAAGTATAAAGATTATAAAAGTTTAATATTCAATTGGAATCATTTTTATTTACTAATATTACTCTTATGAAACATGTTAAAGAGACCTGTAGTATTTTAATAAACTCTTTGTGACAACATGTGCAGGAGTTAGATGTACATTTAACACATCTGTAGCTTGGAGATTTTATTTCAATATATCAAATGCTTATGATAATAATATATCACCAAAGCATACCTTGGGTGTGTGTGTGTGTTAGCCTGGTTGTTAGAGTGTTTGCTCATCATGCAAAAGGTCTGAGTTCAACTCCCATCATGGTTCCTGTGTGTGAAGCCCATTTCTGGTGTCCCCTGCCTTGATATTGCTGGAATATTGCTAAAAGCGCTGTAAAACCTTACTCACAAATTGTCTACCTGATCTGGGGAACATTGCTCTGTCATAACGTGACTACATGTTTGGAAAGTTAATATCAATGAACAGTTTTCATACACTTTAGGGGTAGTGTTTAAATTTATTTTTTATTATTGCTTTATTTAAAAAGTAAATGTAATCAAAAATATTATTTTACTTAGCCTTATCAGTGTTTGACACAAACACTAGTCCTGTTATAACACATATTCTGTAGGACCAGCAAAATTAATGAAATGGTGGTCCAGAGTTTTTTGTTTTATTTTTGGATAGCTGTTGATTATTTGTCTTTTTCAAAACAGAAATTTGGTGCACCTTAACTTGCATTAATATTTCTCATATGCTACACTTTATACATCTTAAGTTTGAAGAATTATTTTGAAGATATATTCATATTATTAACAATTTTTGGCGAGGGGCATTGGAGATCCAGTAGATTTATCTATCTATCCCAGTCCTTTGGACTGCTTGCAAAGACTGCTTATTGTCAAGCATATATAATCATATTGTTAATTATTTTCCAAGTTACCATAAATACTATTCACATTTTCTGTGTGTTATCAGTCTGTGCATGTTTTTCAGGTTGAATGTCACGATGAGAGTGAGGCCAACAAGGCCTTCAAGGAGGTAAGTTACCATGGTTACTATTGGCATCTCATAGGTGATGGAGGAATCATAAGAGGCAACAAACGGGATCGGGTGGTCAGGCTCGCTGACGCGGTTGATGCATGTCATCGTATCATTATTGTGTGGATCGATGCTCATAAAATCAATCACTGGATTGTCTGGTCCAGACTCGATTATTTACAGACCGCTGTCATATAGCTGGAATATTGCTGTGTGTGGCGTTAAACAACAAACAAATAAACAAACAATAATGGAGAAATCATGAGAATCTGCTGATGCTCTTCCGGAATCAACAGATTCAAGTGATTTCTACGACATAAGTCATGATATGGTTGCAAAGTAAAAGAAATGTTACTGAGTGTTGGATGTTATATTACAAAGAACATTATCTATAAAGCTATTTTTCTGACAAACAGTTTTAAAAATGTCCAAAACGGAAATAAAAACAAGAAAAAGAATGTACACACAGAGCATGAAATAATGAAAAGATATCTAGAAAGGTACCCGAAGATGGATAGAAAATCAAAATGTAACCAACAAAATCTAGAACTGTTGAGTTCGTGAATAATGTATGGTTGATACATGATTTCTCTGTGATACCTATAGTTTTTATGTTGCATAAAACATATATCCTTGCGATAATAAAGTCTATCTTATCTTGTCTTATAGTTGCCAGTATAACTTGCACATTCAAAATGGCCAGTGAATGCCTGGCTCATTATCAACTGCAACAACAATAGCGTGACGTCATCATAATGGTTTAGGGGGTGATCAGGTAGCCTCGTGGTAAAAGCGTTTGCTCGTCACACCGAAGACCCGGGTTCGATTCCCGACATGGGTACAATTGTGAAGCCATTTCTGGTGTCCCCCGCCGTGATATTGCTGGAATATTGCTAAAAGTGGCGTAAAACCATACTCACTCATAATGGTTTAGTTGTGGAGAAGTTCATAGCTTCCTATGATTTTCCTGGACCAGATTTTATTTATTATAGGGCATGATGACGTGACTTGACTCAAGTTAATTATTTTAAAGTCTCTTTGTCTCAGTTAATTATTTTAAAGTCTCTTTATCTCAAGTTAATTATTTTAAAATCTCTTTTTCTCAAGTTAATTATGTTAAAGTCTCTTTATCTCAAGTTAATTATTTTAAAGTCTCTTTGTCTCAGTTAATTATTTTAAAGTCTCTTTGTCTCAAGTTAATTATTTCAAAGTCTCTTTGTCTCAAGTTAATTATTTTATAGTCTCTCTTTCCCTATCCCATCACCCATGGGTTACAAATATTACAAAGTAATTTCTTGGTGAAAGCTAGTCGCTCATATACAGACCCTGAACCAAATATATCAGAAAACTCCCAAGCAAGTATACAGCTCCACGATACTTTAGCAAGTTTAGATTGCTGGAGTTTCTGAAAAAGAAGACATTCTCTGGGCTTCTTTATGTTATATATTAACATACATTAAACAAAATTTCAGAGAGTAAATATTAGTCCAGATGTAGTTTGTGGTATAACGCAGCAGTCAGGACTTTTCCAGCTGTAAATATTCAAGTCTGAACCAGACAAACCCATGATTGATATCATATCCAAGGCAACTGGGGTACAAAGACATGCAACCAGTCAATTTAGCTGCATGTTACAACAAGCACAGGATGCTGAGGACCATCTAGCCCGGAATCCCCATGGAGGATTATTACTATACCTTGCGTGACATTGGCAACATTATCAAACGAGAGTCGTCTAAAACAGTTACAACTGTAGTTCAGTTGAGCTTGGATGTGATTATGTGAATGAATGGAGCATTTATTTTTCTTAATCTTTGTGAAATGTCCATGTGACATGTTTGGGGAGTTTTACTAAATGTTTGAGCTGTAAATTACACAATAAAAACAAATAATCTACTTCAACTCAAGATGAGAAAAGATTTGTTTTTGTGTTCAAGTCCATTTCAAAACACATTGAGTTAGATTTGAACCCGAACGATGACATTGTGTTTGATAATCTCATGCCTAAATACCCAGAACAACTTATTCTGATTTTTGTGGCCATTTTGCCAAATATTAAAACAAATTGAATATGCATCTTCAAAGTGTCCTTTTTTGATAAGCCATTAACCAGTGTAAATAAATTTCAATAACATGATGAAGTAGAATAAGATTTTGACCTTATAAATATTTGTTATAAATAGCCAAATGTTTGTCTGAAATTTGTATTTTGGATATGTGTATTATAACTTCAGTGCACCTGGTGAAAGTGGTCTGACAGTGTTGTAGTATTGATTAATCCCAGTGACCAACATCGTGAACATTACAGTAGTGAATTATTGTATTACACCACTGATGCATGACAAACTCAGGTCCCCCAGGGCTCTCCGAAGCTACTGATACAATAGGGTTCATTACAGACACAGTAAGCTTGGATACTGCTGAAGTAGATCAGTTGTCCCTTTGTTCCAGGGTTAAATATTAACACAGTGTTTCAGTTTTCCACGCTCTCATTCCTGTCAGCTGGAGGTCACTTAGGGCGCACCTTCCAGTTCCATGGTAGCCACTGAGTGCTTATTTCATATGCATCATAATCCCAAAATGAGGCTAATTATCACCCGCCATGAAGTGGAAGGGGGATATATATAGGAATGGATGCTGTCCCTCTGTCTGTCTGTCTGTCACAATTCGTTTCCGGAGCAGTACTAAAAAAACACGAGAGATATCCTAACCAAACTTTGTGCATGCGTAGGTCTAGTGGTGAACTGGTGCCTTTGAGATTTGGGGATTTTTCTAAAATGTATGTTTCGAGTTTCCATGGCAATGTCTCTGATTTAGACTGAAAATGGCAGTAGTGCTCATTTCTGTAGCAGATCTTGAAAACCGTACAATATTTCTTCACCAAACTTGGCACATAGATAGGTCTAGTGGTAAACTGGTGCCTTTTGGTAGTAGGGATTTTTCAAAAAATTATTTTTTGAGTTTCCATAGCAACAACTTTGACTTAGACTGAAAATGGCGTTAGGGCTTGATTCCGGGGGGCTAATGCCTTGAACACAACCGGACATGTCTCGTCCATTGTGTATTATTGTCACATATCTTTGGGAATAATGAATAATAAAAAATAAAAAAGAGATGCACTTAGCAAAGCATGCTCACATGGCAGCACAGTCAGTTAACTGTTTGAAGAACAAAAACATGTTCTGAAATGTTGGTTATAGCTCACCAGGACCATAGGTCAAGTGTTTTGATTGGTCTAGCCTTATTTGGATTAACATTGTTTTTATTATTCGGTTGTTTATTCAAAATAAAGACCAAACAATATCAATGATAAACTTTATCAGGGAGCCCAAACACACGGGACTTCCTGGGGGACAAAAGAGATATATGTGAAGGTGTGTGTTTATTGAGTGGCGGGGACACAGCTCTGACCTTGTTGGGGGGTGTTTGCTTATCTACGTTACCACACAGATTACCTATGTTTACCTATGTCATATACTGACCCTATACTAAGTAGTTTGTCCAACTTGAGCAACCCTACCTGTTCTTTATAGTGATAGGCCTGTATATCATGATTTTGTTTGCACAGAAGTAAATGGAATGAAACTGTTCTTGAGGCTAGGTGTTGGTTTATTTGATAATCTTTAATAATCTGTCAGGGTTCATGCAGGCTCGAAAATGTCTTGAACTTTTAGGTCTGTGTTGAGAAGGCCTAATATTTTTAGGGCTGTGTTGAGTAAGGCCTTAAACTTTTAGGTCTGTGTTGAGAAGGCCTTAAACTTTTAGGTCTGTGTTGAGTAAGGCCTTAAACTTTTAGGTCTGTTGAGAAGGCCTTAAACTTTTAGGTCTGTGTTGAGTAAGGCCTTAAACTTTTAGATATGTGTTGAGTAAGGCCTTAAACATTTAGGTCTGTGTTGAGAAGGCCTTAAACTTTTAGGTCTGTGTTCAGAAGGCCTTAAACTTTTAGGTCTGTGTTGAGTAAGGCCTTAAACATTTAGGTCTGTGTTGAGTAAGGCCTTAAACTTTTAGGTCTGTGTTGAGAAGGCCTTAAACGTTTAGGTCTGTATTGAAAAGGCCTTGAATATTTAGGGCTGTGTTGCGTTAAGAATTGACTTTCACTTTGTGTGAGTTCATTTAGTACATGCTTCAACCAAGTCAGCGAGCCTGACCACCCGATCCCGTTAGTCCATCTTACGACAAGCATAGTTGCCTTTTACAGCAAGCATGGGTTGTTGTAGACCTATTCTACCCCCGGATCTTAACAGGTCTTGTAATTGTGTAGGCAAAGTAGGATGTTGGCCAAAGGGGAATATACCTCCTTCGTCATTAGTAATGGCTGTATGAGTTTGGTTATTGATTGTCCAACTAAGCTGTCAAGTCACAGTAAGTCCTCACTAAGTGACTGTCAGCCAGCCTGACATTGATCCATTGAGAACCACAGGCTAAATGTCAAGTCATCAAAGATACAGCATTGTGGATCCAACAAAAAGAGAATTAGTTCCCATTTTAAGATTTTACGTGGATTGCTTTTGTCTTGGGCGGTTGGAAGTAGTGCCACTATATTCTTTGAACAATGATGTCACTGCATTGTAACCATTTTGAGTGACATTGCTCTGTATGGCATCATCAATGGAATGTTGTTCCATGTTAGGAATTTTTGGAAATATGTAAATGCACACAATTTGATCAAATCTGAAACATCATCTTATACTGGAAGTATGCGCAGGACCGTAGCGTTTGGCGCCATCTATTGGCGAAGTAGTAAATGGGGCATAACTGAGGAATGTTGGCCATTAGCACACTAACATAGATATTGAGATATTTTCTTGTTGAAAAACATCTTCTCCATTATAAAATGGATAATCTTATGATTATAAAATATTTTTAAAAGATAAATGCTATTAATTATACTTTTTTATGAAACTGCAGACGTGATGAATGATTATATAAACCTGTATACTAATTGTGAATTTTTTATGTACATAAGCTTATACCGGTAAGCATAAGAAATGTGTCAAGTGAAATAAAATCTACACTAACGACCATCTTTTATCATTCGAACAGTTAGATTAAATACTAAACATGTTAGAAATAATGATATTACAAATAGTTAAATATGCTCTGTTAATCAAGACCAGTAAAAATCCTTTTTTCATCACGTTTGCTCAGCCCTGTGTGTGATGTAGTACTTCGCGATGATGCTCTTCACTGTTATTGCAAGTACACATTTTGGTTCAATAAATTTTACTTCCTGAGTTGGATGGGGATTGTTTGCAAGGGAAATAGTACCGCCCAGATGAGGAAAAATCACATATACTTTTATTTGTCCATTATTTGTCTGACTGCCATTTATGGAAGTGTGTTTGTGTCCCCCAGGCCATGGCGCTGCGGCAGCTGCAGCATCCCTATGTGTGCGGCTACAAGGAGTTCTTCGTCATGTGGGATAAGGAGGTAAGACACTAACAGAACTTAGTCCATAATAACTGGTGTAGAGTATATTCCATATACTATCCACTCCTATAGACTATATTCCATATACTGTCCACTCTCATAGACTATATTCCATACTCTATCCACTCCCATAGACTATATTCCATATACTGTCCACTCCCATAGACTATATTCCATATACTGTCCACTCTCATAGACTATATTCCATACACTATCCACTCCTATAGACTATATTCCATATACTGTCCACTCTCATAGACTATATTCCATACACTATCCACTCTCATAGACTATATTCCATATACTGTCCACTCCCATAGACTATATTCCATATACTGTCCACTCTCATAGACTATATTCCATACACTATCCACTCCTATAGACTATATTCCATATACTGTCCACTCTCATAGACTATATTCCATACACTATCCACTCTCATAGACTATATTCCATATACTGTCCACTCCCATAGACTATATTCCATGTACTGTCCACTCCCATAGACTATATTCCATATACTGTCCACTCCCACAAACTATATTCCATATACTGTCCACTCTCATAGACTATATTCCATATACTATCCACTCCTATAGACTATATTCCATATACTATCCACTCTCATAGACTATATTCCATATACTATCCACTCCTATAGACTATATTCCATATACTGTCCACTCCTATAGACTATATTCCATATACTGTCCACTCTCATAGACTATATTCAATATACTGTCCACTCCCATAGACTATATTCCATATACTGTCCACTCCCATAGACTATATTCCATGTACTGTCCACTCCCACAAACTATATTCCATATACTGTCCACTCTCATAGACTATATTCCATATACTATCCACTCCTATAGACTATATTCCATATACTATCCACTCTCATAGACTATATTCCATATACTATCCACTCCTATAGACTATATTCCATATACTGTCCACTCTCATAGACTATATTCAATATACTGTCCACTCCCATAGACTATATTCCATATACTGTCCACTCCCATAGACTATATTCCATGTACTGTCCACTCCCATAGACTATATTCCATATACTGTCCACTCCCACAAACTATATTCCATATACTGTCCACTCTCATAGACTATATTCCATATACTATCTACTCCAATAGACTATATTCCATATACTATCCACTCCTATAGACTATATTCCATATACTATCTACTCCAATAGACTATATTCCATATACTATCCACTCCTATAGACTATATTCCATATACTATCCACTCCTATAGACTATATTCCATATACTATCCACTCCCATAGACTATATTCCATATACTGTCCACTCTCATAGACTATATTCAATATACTGTCCACTCCCATAGACTATATTCCATGTACTGTCCACTCCCATAGACTATATTCCATATACTGTCCACTCCCATAGACTATATTCCATATACTATCCACTCCCATAGACTATATTCCACATACTGTCCACTCTCATAGACTATATTCAATATACTGTCCACTCCCATAGACTATATTCCATATACTGTCCACTCCCATAGACTATATTCCATATACTGTCCACTCCCATAGACTATATTCCATATACTGTCCACTCCCATAGACTATATTCCATATACTGTCCACTCCCATAGACTATATTCCATATACTATCCACTCCTATAGACTATATTCCATATACTGTCCACTCTCATAGACTATATTCAATATACTGTCCACTCCCATAGACTATATTCCATATACTGTCCACTCCCATAGACTATATTCCATGTACTGTCCACTCCCATAGACTATATTCCATATACTGTCCACTCCCATAGACTATATTCCATATACTGTCCACTCCCATAGACTATATTCCATATACTGTCCACTCTCACAGACTATATTCCATATACTGTCCACTCTCATAGACTATATTCCATATACTGTCCACTCTCATAGACTATATTCCATATACTGTCCACTCCCATAGACTATATTCCATATACTGTCCACTCCCATAGACTATATTCCATGTATTGTCCACTCCCATAGACTATATTCCATATACTGTCCACTCCCATAGACTATATTCCATATACTGTCCACTCTCATAGACTATATTCCATATACTATCCGCTCCCATAGACTATATTCCATATACTGTCCGCTCTCATAGACTATATTCCATATACTGTCCACTCTCATAGACTATATTCCATATACTATCTGCTCCCATAGACTATATTCCATATACTGTCCACTCCCACAAACTATATTCCATATACTGTCCACTCCCATAGACTATATTCCATATACTGTCCACTCTCATAGACTATATTCCATATACTATCCGCTCCCATAGACTATATTCCATATACTGTCCACTCCCATAGACTATATTCCATATACTGTCCACTCCCATAGACTATATTCCATATACTGTCCACTCCCATAGACTATATTCCATATACTGTCCACTCTCATAGACTATATTCCATATACTATCCGCTCCCATAGACTATATTCCATATACTGTCCACTCCCATAGACTATATTCCATATACTGTCCACTCTCATAGACTATATTCCATATACTATCCGCTCCCATAGACTATATTCCATTTACTGTCCACTCCCATAGACTATATTCCATATACTGTCCACTCCCATAGACTGTATTCCATATACTGTCCACTCTCATAGACTATATTCCATATACTGTCCACTCCCATAGGACATTTTCATATACATGTACTCTCAAATCCCATTAAAACATTTCCCATATATATGATATCCGCCCGAATGACATAGCATGTATTCCCTATACTCTCAAATCACATAGAACACATTCCCAATGCTTGTTAAATCCCATAACAAATGCCTATGTACATGATATATGCCTAAATTCTACAGAACATGTTCCATATACTGTCAACTCCCTTAGAACATTTTCCATATACATGATTTATCCCAAATCTCAGAACATATTCCAGATACTCTCAAATCCAATAGAACATATTTCAGATACTCTCAAATCCCAAAGAACATATTCCAGATACTCTCAAATCCCATAGAACATATTCCAGATACTCTCAAATCCCATAGAACATATTCCAGATACTCTCAAATCCCAAGAAAATATTCCAGATACTCTCAAATCCCATAGAAAATATTCCAGATACTCTCAAATCCCATAGAACATATTCCAGAAACTCTCAAACCCAATAAAACAGACATATGATATACTCATTAATCCTATATTCTATATACTCTCAAAAAATTCCATAGAACATATTTCCTAAACTCTCAAATACCACAGACCCAATTGCATTTGCAGTCAATTTCTGTATTACAAAATCTAGATAGATATTATCTTGAAGCTCACTACCATGAAAATTATAACAGAAAAATTCTAAATGTTATAAATTTTGTTAAACTTCAGTATACCCTTAAAATATGTTCAACTGTTCTGTGCTGGAAGGCTAGTAGTAACATTTGACACACCGGTCTGGGCTAGGGAGGCTAGTAGTAACATTGTACACACCGGTCTGGGCTAGGGAGGCTAGTAGTAACATTGGAGACACCTGTCTGGGCTAGGGAGGCTAGTAGTAACATTGGACACACTGGCCTGGGCTAGGGAGGCTAGTAGTAACATTGGACACACAGGTCTGGGCTAGGGAGGCTAGTAGTAACATTGCACACACTCGTCTGGGCTGGGAGGCTACTAGTAACAGTGGACACCATCGGTTTTGAAGCTAGAGTTGTCTCCCTGACCTTCTTACTGGTTGTTCCAGGAGTCATCGATGTTCGTGTGCATCGTGATGGACTACTACAGCAAGGGGGACCTGAAGAAGATCATTCAGCAGTACCAGAAGGACAAGCAGCCCATGGAGGAAGAGGTGAGGTCGTATTGAACACCCCGGCATGTCGCCTGCCACCAGTCCTCTAATGGAAGCATCCACCCCTGGGTTAAAATGTGTCTTAAACTTAATGCGAGTGTCGATCCCTGGCCCAAAATACGTCATGAAATCAATACATGTAACCAAGTGATGTTACATGAGTTGGGGCAATCCTTTGAATGTAAACAACCAGTGTTATGTATTCACCATGACTGCTGTTAATGCACTGGACATGTTCACCACTTGAGTGACCCATGAAGACCCGGGTTGGAATAGGTCTTCAGCAACCCATGCTTGCTGTAAACGGCAACTATGTTTGTCTTAACAGGCGACTAACGGGATGGGTTGATGCATGTCATCTTATCCCAATTGCTGGATCGATGCTTATGATGTCAATCACTGGATTGTCTGGCCCAGACTCGATTATTTACAGACTGCCGTCACATAGCTGGCGTTAAACAACAAACAAACAAAACAGGTCAGCTCTACTAGTATCCCTCTGGTTACTTTATAGAGGGACAAAGTGCCACGGTCTTGGGCCATCTAGGTCTAGACCTTGTAATTACTGTCATTGTCTCGTGTAATTTGAGTAATCTTTAACTCCAAGGGTGATATGCATCATAGAAATTGCCTTGCCAAAAGCAACTACAATATTTCCTCTAATAAGCTACATACACAAATATATCATCTTCCTGAGGCAAGAGAGTTAACTGACTTTAAAAGTCCACTTTCCACCCTTCCTGAACTAGGCTGAAATTCCTGGGCTCGATCGTATCGCCACCAGTGGCTATTACCAGTTATGTTCCTTCTATGCCTCTCCTATGGACCAATTGGATTCCACCTCTTGTATCACTTGCATTTGCTTCAAACAAAATGTTGGCGCCGAGTCAAGATGATCTGATCGATAATCAGTATCTATATTGTGATAAAATGGGTCTTACATTGCGAAGTGCATCAAATCACGGGAGCACCTTGATTAAAAACATGACATTTTTTGGAAAATATCTGTTGACGAGTTGGCGGTGCACATGTTTTACAAATCCTGCAATTTACCGAAATCTGTACGACAGTTTACAAACCGGATTTCGATTTTGTTGCGCGATTTTGATTTGACTATGCATAGACTCTTTAGTCCAGACAAAATGTAACTCCATAATACCAGCCTAGTTCGGCAAGGGTGGAAACTGAACTTTGATAGTCAGTTAGGTCTCTTGCCTCGGGAACATGCTAATATATTGACATACAATAGAATTTTATGTTCTTGATACAGAATTTACAGAGTGAACGTGAACATCGCAGGTGTAATATGAAATTGCAACAATAACACTTTTTGTGGAGTATTAACCAAGGAACTACAAACTTGATCTAACATACCTGGCACTTCCAGGCCAGGCACTTATTGTGTTGTACACTGCTTCAGACATGCTCTTATTGGAGGTCGGCTCTTATTGGAGGAAATATGGTAGATAGCAGACAGGGAGTGTTTGAAGTGGAGTAGTGTTACTAATACCTGATGTAGCCGCTGATTGGTCATTAGATTAGATTTTAGATAGCCCCCACCATAATACATCATACAGTGTTTTATACTTGTATGATTTTGTCAACCAAAGTGCTAGGAATGTATGAAAACAATATCCCAGTTTGAAGATTGTATTTATTACCGCTGAGCTTGATAATGACACAGATGAGGATAATCACAACTTGTCTGAACCCTGTCTGAACCCTGTCTGAACCAGACAAGTGATGCAGTGTCAGTGCTCACTCAAAGCATGAACTGTAGCCAGGTGAGGTGAGGTGAAATGGGGTTTAACGTCGCGTCCAAGATTATTGCATTTATATAGCGACGTGCATGTACGTGTGTGTGTTTGTGTGGCTGCTTGTACTAGTCCGGACTGATGCCGATTTATAGTGCTAGCTCACTGAGATACCATGCCGCAGTTAAACATGAATATCCCACTCAGACACAGTATACTGACTCCGAGCCGACCAGTCCTTGTTTTAGCCCCTTAATGCCAAGTGCCAGACAGGGTAACAACAAGAACCGTCTTTTAACGTCTTTTGGTATGACGCGGCTGGGGATCGAACCCCAGACCTTCCGCTCTCCGGGCGGACGCTCTACCACTAGACCACGGAGGCGGTCGAACTGTAGCCAGGACTAACATTAGTCATACTGTAGATCACGTACTTGGTCTAGATTACCAGTTGTCAGACTTTCTTTTTGTGGAAGTCTCGGTGGCTGAGTGGGTTAGATCACTGAGTTTGTGTGCTGGTGATTAGGTGCCTCACTCTGGCAGTATGGGTTTGAATCCTGGACAGGACTCACCACAAAAAATGTATGAGAATCTGTACTGTTATCCCAAATTTAACATTTGTTACGTTTGACCACTTTCTAAATGGCATTGTGTGTTCATAGCTTTTAGCTATGGGAGCCTGCCAATCTACACTTGTCAGAGGGGTACACAAAGTATGTGATCTAGACTACCGGTTGTCTGATTATCATTTTTGTGGAAGCCTCGGTGGCTGAGTGGGTTAGATCGTTGACTTTGTGTGCTGGCAATTAGGTGCCTCACTCTGGCAGTGTGGGTTCGAATCCCGGATGGGACTCAACCCCCAAAAAGTGTGAGAATCTGTACTTTACTCAGAAAGTGTTATCCCAAATATAACATTTGTTACATTTGACCACTTTCTAAATGGCACTGTGTGTTAACAGAGAAATGATGTTGTAGCCATCATTATCCCCTGCGTGGAGATATAGGGAGGCAGATATGGGAATGGGTACAGTCTGTCAATCCATTCGTCACGGTTGGATCCTGGTTCAAGGACCATGTGAGAGTTACGCTAGTTGTAGCACTACGATCACTGTGGGGTCGAGAATGTACGGTATTATTGTCTGTTTCAGGTTGTGAAGAGGTACCTGGGGGAAATTCTGGAGGCACTTATATTTGTACACAGAAAAGGTGTCATTCACAGGTAATACGAGTAGCAGCATACACTTGGTGAAAGTTAATATTGAGGGCCTCGTTTGATAAAGCGATCGAGTAAATTAATTCTAACGTATGAGAGTAACGTTTGTTCTAGCTCATTGATCACTTGCTGGAACAGACCACTGTAATTTTGCTATGAAATTGGTGATAATGGTGTAAAATGTAATTGATTTTAGCTTCTATTGCAAACATGTTTATCAAGTCTTAAAAAAAGTCTGTGAGAATTTTTTCCTGATTGTCATTTTATTTTTTAAGGAATTTTACATCAACTGATATCTTGTTTATGTTCTGTTAATTCATGAGATATCAACATCTTAGAGAAAATCGCCGATGTTTTCAATTCTAATGAAACATTGATTGATTTGTTGTGGTCGCCGACGATGTTTGCAGGGATCTGAAGCCAAGCAACATCTTCATTCAAGATAACGACAGCATCTGCCTCGGGGACTTCGGCGTTGCAACCATCATGGGTGACGCCAAGACATGCACCAGGAACACAGTGGGTCAGTAGAAGAATGCTTTGTGTACCATGTGGGTCATCATCATATGAATCAGGTGGTAAGGCTCCGTGACTTAGTTGACTGCATGTCATCGTACCCAGATGTAGTATCAATCACTGGTTGGTCACTCACTCATGGTGTCCCTTCACCTGAAATGTGTGTGTATGTGTTTGTTGTTTAACGCCGCACTTAGCAATATTCCAGCTGTATGACGGCGGTCTAAATAATCGAGTCTGGACCAGACAATTCAGTGATTGACTGGGAACGTTGGGATCGCTGACATGCATCAACTAAGTCAGCGAGCCTGACCACCCGATCCTGCTAGTCGCCTCTTACGACTAGCATAGTTACCTTTTATGTCAAGCATGGGTTGCTGAAGACATATTCTACCCCGGATCTTCACGGGTTTTCACCTGAAATGATACGATGCGGTATTAGACTGTGCACAATATACGAAATAGCAAACTTTCCCAAAACGTGTACCCAAGAAATATAGTCAAGTGCGCATTATACACAAGATGATACAGTACTCTTGATATATTCACTGTAGTCACATCCTCATAGCATGGATAGTTGTTCATGATATCAACCACTGGCTTCTCTGGGCCAAACATGAATATTTACATGCTGCTATGATATAGTTGTAATATTGGAAGAATTCACTCATTATTTCACTGATTACTAGACCTATATAGAGGAAGAGGCTTTAATGCTTAGTTTAACATTGATGCACTTATTGCAATGTTAAAATACTGCGACCTCAGAATTTAGGGGGGCGGTCGGGTAGCCTAGTGGTTAAAGCGTTCGCTCGTCACGCCGAAGACCCGGGTTCGATTCCCGACATGGGTACAATGTGTGAAGCCCATTTCTGGTGTCCCCCGCCGTGATATTGCTGAAATATTGCTAAAAGCGGCATAAAACCATACTCAGTCAGTCAGAATTTAGGAAAATAAGCAGTTATAAAAAACAAAACAATTTTGAACAAAATAGCGATTGTGCCAATGTGCCTGCACACTTGCTTGTGTACAACAGGCACGACCAACTACATGGCGCCGGAGGTCCAGAACAATCCGTACGACGAGAGAAGTGATATGTGGGCCCTGGGCTGTATCCTGTTTGAGATGACGACGACGGCCATGTTTGATGGTGTCATGGTGGCCACGAAGCTGAAGGAAGTAAAGGACGACCCTGGCGTGCTGGAGGAGATCTTCGAGGATGTGGCCAAGGTAGGGGATTTAAAAACGTACCACAATAAAAGAAATTCTGGATCTTTAGTCAGTAGGCAGTGATAATTTACTTGAATTGTTAAATCTTATTTGGTTTGTCAATTTTTATTCTCAATATTTTTGCTTTTGTTTTATCTTCCCGAGGCAAGGGAGTTAACTCACTATAAAAGTCCAGTTTGCATCCTTGCCGAATTTGGCTATAGTTTCGTGGCTATTACGAGTTATGTCCCTTCTATGTCCCTCCTACTGACCAATCAGATTCTTCCTCTCTCAGCATTTGCATTTGCTTCAGACAAAATGGCACACCTAGACAAGATGATCTGATCAATAATCAAGATCTTTACTGTAATAAGATAGGTCTTACCTCGTGAAGTGCATAAAATTACTTGAACAACTTGATTAAAAACAAGAAAGAATTTGGAAAATATCTGTCGACACCCAGTGGAGAGTATCGATTCTTTGCAAATCCTGCAAGTTACAGAAATCTGCACAGCAGTCGGCATGGATGTCGATGTCATTATGTGTTTGTGATTGGATTATGCACAGACTCGTTAGTCCAGCAAAAATAAAACTCAAATTTCAGCCGTTTGGCAAGGGAGGAAACTGGACTTCTGTAGTCAGTGAACTCCCTTGCCACAGGAAAACACTGACAACTGACAACAAAATGTGTATTTTCGACCACTTATGAATTTTTTCAAATTTTACAATGAGCAGTACATTTTTGTTTTACACAAATCAGTATTTCATTGTTGCTTTATGTTCAACTTTTATGATAAAATTAAGATCAACACTTTCACTTGTGTTTTTGAGCTGTTTTACACAAAACAGCAAACCCCACCAGGGCTCTCCTACATGGTGAAATAATAATGTTCCTCCTTACAGCATTTTTCGGGCGACTTGATCACTGCTATCCGTCAGATGCTCAAGTACAACCCCACGCGGAGGCCGACGGCTGAGTAAGTAACTCCCTCACTCACTCAATGTACCCTGCCTGACACTCGGCATTAACAGGATAAAACAAGGACAGTTGACCCAGTGTCAAGAACACATGGCGTGATGAATATCATTCACCCTAACGTGACCGCCTCCGTGGTCTAGTTGTAGATTCCGCCCAGAAAGAGGAAGGTCCGGGGTTTGATCCCCGACCGTGTCATACCAAAAGACGTTAAATGATGGTACTTGTTGTTACCCTGTTTGACGCTCGGCATAATGGGGCTAAAACAAGGACTGGTCAGCTCGGAGTCAGTATGCTGTGTCTGAGTGGGGTATTCATGTTAAAAACAACTCCATTTTAATTGAAAAGTAGCCCCATTGAGGTGAGGGAGTCAGAACCTGTCTAGACTTGCTTCATTTAGGGCTGTTGCATTACAGTAAGGGCTGGGTGGAAGGGCAATGGTGCGGGGACTGAGATAGATGGGTAACCAGCCAGGGTATGGCTCTGTTTTCCCATGTTGTGCTAGACTTGCTGATTATTCTGCTCTCCTCCTCCCTGCAGGCAGCTGGTGGAGAAGTGTGCATACATCAAGAAGTGTGTCGAGGCCAGGGACTCCTCCATGTTGGAGAAGAGGAGGAGACAGGCCCAGACGGAAGAAAAGAAAATCGGTATGTGGACCCTCCAGTACCCATTCTGGATCCTGTTTTTAACCCTACTCCCGCAAAAGTCGCACTGCTGAGACCAGTTAGTGGAACAGGGTCCTGTACAGAAATATCACTTGCATGTTTTGCTCGTCTCCCCATGGAGATAACATATCAGCATAGGTTCTCAGTACTAGGGCTGGGACGGGTTACTCAGGTACTCGGGTCGGGTGGGTCCTGAGTAGGACCCGGGTACCAATAGGACTACCTGGACCCGTGGTTAGTCACGTGAGATATTGTTTAATGACAAAAAACATCTAAAACTCTATGGTTACACTACAAGTCACTAATGTTCCCATTTCTTTCTAACAATGCACCCATTCCTTCTGACTTTTATATGTTTGAATAAAGATAAAACTTCATGCAGTAAATTTTTACACGCGTATCTAAATACATTTTGCCAGGGCTACGGTCAAACTTTTCCAAATCGGACAGTTTGTACCTATCTCTAAATATCTACAGCGGGTACCCGGGTAGGGTCGGGTAATAGGGTTGGGGGTACCCGGGTAGTAAATTTGGACTCGTCCAAGCCCTACTCAGTACCTCCATGTTTATAGTGTGGACTCCAGGGCCCACTTGCACAAAGCGATCTTAGCGTTAAGATGATCGTAACTCCCATACTTTAACATAGCCTTACGATCATCTTAACGCCAAGATCGCTTTGTGCAAGTGGGCCCTGGCCAGTATAGGTTCTCGGTGTCTCATATCTGTGGCCAATTGTGATTATGAGAAGGTCATCAGTACTTCATGCTTGTATCCAATGAGGAGTCCAAGCAGATAGATTCTTAGTGTCTCATGTTTGTTCACGATTAGGACTCCAAGTCAGTTTAAGATTTTCAGTATCTCACGTTAGTGGCCAATTGGGATTCAAGGACAGAAATGGTCCTGCTTTGTGCTTGTACCAAATGAGGATTCTGGGCAGAAATGGTGAGACCTCCAGGTTCTCAGTACCTCCTCTATGTGTATAGTGAGGACTCCAGGCCAGTATAGGTTCTCGGTACCTCCTGGTGCCTAGTAGTGAGACCTCCAGGTTCTCAGTACCTCCTCTATGTGTATAGTGAGGACTCCAGGCCAGTATAGGTTCTCGGTACCTCCTGGTGCCTAGTAGTGAGACCTCCAGGTTCTCGGTACCTCCTCTATGTGTATAGTGAGGACTCCAGGCCAGTATAGGTTCTCGGTACCTCCTGGTGCCTAGTAGTGAGACCTCCAGGTTCTCAGTACCTCCTCTATATGTATAGTGAGGACTCCAGGCCAGTATAGGTTCTCGGTACCTCCTGGTGCCTAGTAGTGAGACCTCCAGGTTCTCAGTACCTCCTCTATGTGTATAGTGAGGACTCCAGGCTAGTATAGGTTCTCGGTACCTCCTGGTGCCTAGTAGTGAGACCTCCAGGTTCTCAGTACCTCCTCTATGTGTATAGTGAGGACTCCAGGCTAGTATAGGTTCTCGGTACCTCCTGGTGCCTAGTAGTGAGACCTCCAGGTTCTCAGTACCTCCTCTATGTGTATAGTGAGGACTCCAGGCCAGTATAGGTTCTCGGTACCTCCTGGTGCCTAGTAGTGAGACCTCCAGGTTCTCAGTACCTCCTCTATGTGTATAGTGAGGACTCCAGGCCAGTATAGGTTCTCGGTACCTCCTGGTGCCTAGTAGTGAGACCTCCAGGTTCTCAGTACCTCCTCTATATGTATAGTGAGGACTCCAGGCCAGTATAGGTTCTCGGTACCTCCTGGTGCCTAGTAGTGAGACCTCCAGGTTCTCAGTACCTCCTCTATGTGTATAGTGAGGACTCCAGGCTAGTATAGGTTCTCGGTACCTCCTGGTGCCTAGTAGTGAGACCTCCAGGTTCTCAGTACCTCCTCTATGTGTATAGTGAGGACTCCAGGCCAGTATAGGTTCTCGGTACCTCCTGGTGCCTAGTAGTGAGACCTCCAGGTTCTCAGTACCTCCTCTATGTGTATAGTGAGGACTCCAGGCCAGTATAGGTTCTCGGTACCTCCTGGTGCCTAGTAGTGAGACCTCCAGGTTCTCAGTACCTCCTCTATGTGTATAGTGAGGACTCCAGGCTAGTATAGGTTCTCGGTACCTCCTGGTGCCTAGTAGTGAGACCTCCAGGTTCTCAGTACCTCCTCTATGTGTATAGTGAGGACTCCAGGCTAGTATAGGTTCTCGGTACCTCCTGGTGCCTAGTAGTGAGACCTCCAGGTTCTCAGTACCTCCTCTATGTGTATAGTCAGGACTCCAGGCAAGTTTAGGTTCTCAGTGTCTCTGCAATTCCAGGATAGAAAAGGTCGTCTTTACTTTATATTTGTACCAAACGCGATTCTGGTCAGATCTGTTTTCAAAGCCTCACGCTTGTACTCAAAGTACTTCGGAAAACGACCCCTTCAGTCTGAGTCAGTAGAGAATCAGGTGTGATTTGTCTTTCCAGATCCTCTAACATCCGAGTCCCCCGGGATCCTGGTCGTCCTGGAACACATCGCCAATATGATTGACAATGAGGACTGCGTCAAGGATGGCATGGAACACCTGGTAGAGCTCACCAAACAAGATGGCGTCCTCCTAGAGGAGAACAGCAAACGTCTGATTGCCGCGGCGATGAGGAATAACATCAACAACAAGACTATACAAATAGCAGGCTGCAATGTGTTCAATAACGTCATCGTTTCAGGTAGGTTCAACTGAACATTAATATGTTAAGTCAGTCTTAGGGGGGTAGGGATGGCCCAGTTGTCTTAGGCAATTCACTGTGCAGAGTTGCATCCCTTGGGCACACCAGAAACCTATGATCGTGGGTTCAAAATTTCAGTTCACCCCGATGCTCGTGGGTTTCACCAAAGTGGTAAACCTCTGAGACCTGCATCACTTTGGGCTTTCCTCCCACATTAAGCTGACACGCCGCGACATAACTGGAATACTGTTGAAAGCGGCGTTAAACCCAACTCACTCACTCACTCACTCACTCACTCAGGCTTAATCAATAGTGAGTTGAAGTTGAATGCTGCATCCACATATTAAAGCCCCATGGATGATGTTGGGCAGTGATTATGATACAGAAGCCTGTGAGTAAAAATTAAAACTATCTCGGCAATATTATTGTATTAATCAATACGATCTGGATTCCATGCTGTATATATTGTATTAGATGCTGTTATTTAATCAATAATATAGCAAGGAATCTGGTATGTATTTTGGCCAGACCACAATTTAATTTTTTGTTTTATGAAATTTCTAACTAAAAATGCTGTAATTGTTAAAATAGTTGCAACATTTTTGGTTGTATTTTCAGTTTGGCTTGTGTTTAAGAAACAAGTTCTTTTCGCATAAGTTTGATCAGATCAAGATGAAGTATCTATTTTTGAGCATTTGCTACAATCCTATTTACATGTTGTTTTGGAAGACGTGATGTACCCGGTAAGCAAATACGTATTGTTGCATACTACCTTCCTAATCATGTAGAATGATTATGGACCTGTAAAGATCTGGGTTGTCTTAAGAAACCAATGCTTGTCAGAAGAGGCGATGGTACTTGTCGTAAAAGGCGACTAACGGGATCGGGTGGTGAGACTCGCTGACTTAGTTGATACATGTCACCGTATCCCAATTGCATAGATCAATGCTTATGATGTCATTCACTTGATTGTCTGGTCCAGACTTGATTATTTACAAACCACTGTCATATGGCTGGAATATTGCTGAGTGCGGTGTTGAACAGCAAACAGACAAACAAATAAAAGAATGCTCATGTCAATCACTGTATTGTTTGGTCCAGACTAGATTATTTACAGACCGCCATCATATAGCTAGAATATTGCTGAGTGCGGCGTTGAACAGCAAACAGACAAACAAACAAAAGAATTATCATGTCAATCACTGGATTGTTTGCTCCAGATTCGATTATTTACAGACCGCCGTCATATGGCTAGAATATTGCTGAGTGTGGTGTTAAACAACAAACAAACAATAGAATGATCTTGTACACTTTGCTTTGCCAGTGTTGGAAATATGCGCCCGGTTCGGGAAGGCGGAGCCTGGTATGAGAGTCGGCAGATTGTACATGATACCCATACTAACATCACATGACGACACTCATGTATAACAGACTATCACGTGTTGTGCATCTAGCATTTAGAGGTGGAGGCCTTGTAACAGGGGCATTTTATATTCATTAATGTTTGTGTAAGAATGTTAACATTCTTGCTTCTCAGGAATGTCAACTTTGAATGAAATTTAATTCTGATACTTGAGAAACTTCTTTTTCACATTTGAAGAAGAAAATATGCTGCTTGCTCTAACTTTTAATAAATTTGTTAAGAATATTTAATGAATGGTAATTCAGAAAATAAAATGTTATTGTTTCTCCAAAATGTCAAAATTGAAAGACATTTGATTCGGAAACTTGAGAAACTTCTTTTTCACAGTTGAAAAAGAAACTCCCTTGTGCTCGCTTTAACCAATTCTTCAAAAGCAATTACATGTTACAGATGTAGTTTTTACTCGTAGCTCACCTGATCATAGATTATTGTCCCAGAAATGTTTTGTTATAAATTGAAAATAATTAACACTTATATCCTATCAAATGGGCTCTCACATTTCATCACCCCACCAACCTTTTTTTAGGGGGGGGGGGGGGGGCTGACCCATTTAGCTCACCTGAACTAGCAATTATTTGGTGTGAGACAAGGGTACACATCCATCAACTTCAAACAGTTAACATTTATCTTTATGTAGCTGCATTCTGGCTAATATATGCATGAAGTGAATCGTGTTTCAATTGACCTGTTACACTGCTAAACCTGATTCATGTCTGTGTTCAGTACGATAAGTTCCATTATTAAGAATTAACAGTATGAGTGAGTGAGGTTCTACGCCGCTTTTAGCAATATTCCAGCAATATCACGGCGGGGGACACCTCAAATGGGTGAATTAACAGATTACAGTGATTAGTTGCAACTCACCTAGCCATTGCTTACCTGCCGGTTTAGATAACTTGGCCAACTCCACCTCTAAAATCAGGACAAGATTTCTTTGCTTTTTATTTTTTTTCCTTGTTTTTTATTTTGTTTCCTTGTTTTTTATTTTGTTTCCTTGTTTTAGCTAGTGCTTATGTCTTAACTAGACAGATGAGGGAGTGTCAGCTGAAAGATTATTATTATTAAAGTTACTTGCAAGCTAGATAATGTTATAACATTGCTTTTACATTGGTATACTTTAGTCTTTACATAAAAAATAGTTGAAAAATGTGGATTTATCTCCATATCCATAGCATTTAATGTACTGTTTGGCATTTTTAGAAGTTGGTACTTGATGTAAAAGACCCTGAATAAAATAAATATTTGTTTATTAATATTAATAATTTTCACATACAGTGAAACCCTGTTAGTCTGGACCCTGTTTTTACTGAAACCTGCCTTCCTGATTACTGTCTTGTATGTCTGGACAAAGGGACGTTACTCTGTAATGGTTATATCAAGCTCCTCACAGCGTTAGTCCGTTCGCGGAGCGCTCTATACTATCGCTGCCACCAGTCAAAACTCCCCACTGTGAATAGGTGGCCACAACCATGCTTGGAGTTGAACTCGCAACCGAAGGACCGTTATGTTTACAAACAAGTGACGACTGTCGTGACGCCGAATACACTTATCTCTGCTAAATTACTTGCTTCGTTTGTCAATTTGAATTTCTGTTTCATTAAAACTATCGTGTTATTGATATAGTAAGAATGTAAGGGAGAAGTTGGTTGATTTTCCGTTTGTCTGCAATCTCGAACCAATTTGATTATCAAAACAACAAAGTAAATTCATCTGGAAAACATGGTCAGTCGTAAAACTTTTCAAATTGAAATATGATGGCATTCCCAAAGACATAAACAAAAGTATAAACGTTACTTAATATGGGGTTGGAGGGCAAATTTCAAGATTCTTGTAATGGCCGCGCCCACACTGGTGGCAGCGATGTTACCGAGAGTGTAACGAAGGTGTCACGCGCTGGGAAGGAGCTTGTGGTTATATGTACAAGGGGACGTTACTCTGTAATGGGTATATGTTCAATGGGACATTACTCTGGACTGGTATATGGACAAAGGGACGTTACTCTCTAATGGGTATACGTTCAATTGGACATTACTCTGTAATAATATATGTAAAGGGACATTACTCTGTGATGGTATTTCATGTATTTAAATAAAGGGACACTGCTATGTCCCAGTGAATGTTGATCCAGTAATTTGTATTTACTGGGAAGGATACAATCCGGATTTGAAGGGTTTCACTGTACTAAGGGCAATGGTTATTATCAGAGTGGTGTGTTTGGAAAAGTTATAATGACTTCAGGGATTTATCTAGACCTGCTCAGAGGCTGATATTCGGCCCCAAGTCTGCAGCAAATGACAGTAAAATTTCCCAATTTGAATGAAAAAGTTAGATAAGTCTCTTGATAACAATTAACAGTATCCCATAGTAGCTTTTGTGAAGAACTTGTCTGGTGTTTTCTTCATTTTTGCTAAAGAAGTACGTATGTATGAAGTGGTATGCATGTAAGTAACGAATGTCACTGTCTTCTACTTCAGTTCATTTTCATTACATTTATCATGTCCTAAGCAGATTTAGTCTCCACCTCACAAATTTGCTTTTTTATAGAATATATATCAATCTTGTAGCAGCTAGACTATGTTTTTTAACCATTTCCAGTAGAACTAATACATCAATTTTGTTTACTGGTATTTACTGTTGCAGAGTTCAGGAAACAATAATTCTACAAAGAATTCTGGAATGCCTGAATCAAAACATAACGTATAATTGTGCAAAATATCAACTATTCTTGCGAAACAGAATGAATGCACCAATTGTTTTGTTTCCAAAACAATTGTTTTTCTAAAAAAAGAGTCCCATTTGAACAAACAAAACATTTATTTTGCTCTTGCAGTTGTTACACAAAGGTGAAAAAAACCCAAAGCTAACTTAACCTAATTAAGATTAATTTATAGTAATTAAACAATCAACATCTTTGGCTTGACCAGTTTAATTATTTATTTTACAGACCTGCCTGTTACTTTTTAGCCATTATTACCAAAAACAGAAATCAGTTATCATATCAAGTTAGTTTTTATCTCCAAATGTACACTACATTGATTTTTTGTTCTGTTGGTTCTCTCACAATCGCTTAAGCTAAAACATTACCTGAAGTCAAAGGTTGGCAGATGCTAACCCAAGATGGGTGTGTGTCATGCTGAGAAAATATTGTAGTAGGCACAATGCAGTAATAAAGTTAGTCATTTATTTCATTTATAATTTTAAAAGAGATACTTATTTTCATTTTTCCGTCCTGACTTCAGTTATCTTGGGGATAAGAATCCTAAAAACATGTATATTGATTAGTCTGACGATGTAAGTTGAAAACAATGCATTGCTACCTGTTCTGGTAAATGCTGAGTGTTGTTGAGTGTTGATGACTGTTGATGATTGTTCATGATTCAAGCACCTGTTTCCCTGTTGCAGCTCAGACTGGGGATGTTCTGTTCACATCTGAAATCATCTCTGTCATTATCCTCGCCATGAAGGTAAGCAGGAGTATCCATGACGGTTCAATATTCCGAGAGATTCTGGCTGACACCTGGATCCAAGTGACCTATATGCTTAAAATTGTCATAAGAGGCGAGGGGCGGTTCCCACACCTCACTCCCTCCCTCACTCCCTCACTCACTCACTCACTCACTCACTCACTCACTCACTCACTCACTCACTCACTCACTCACTCACTCACTCACCCACCCACCCACCCACCCAATCACTCACTCACTCACTCATAAGAGGTAACAAAATGGATCAGATTGTTGGACTCTGTGACCTTGGTTAACTGTGTGTGACCTGCTCCAACACCTTAGCATGTTTCTCATAATATCAATCACTGGTTCATCTGGTCCAGTCTGGTGACGTGATTGTGTGTGGATCGCTGCTCACAATATCGATGACTGGATAGTCTGGTCCAGACTTGATAATTTACAGGCTACCGGCATATAGCTGGAATATTGATGAGCGAGGCATTAAACATCAAACAAAAAAGTCAGCGAGTAATCACTCACCTGAGCTATGACCTGACAGGTGCTTGTTGTGTCAGGTGGTCAGGCTCAGGTGGAAGGCACAGGTAGCCCAATGATGGTAATAGGCGCTACATTTAACTATTGAGAGTTGTGTCCCTTAGCCTTGTCAGGATCTGCTGGTCATGTGGTTGAATCCTGGTTTCACCAGAGTTATTATCCTTTGTCAATCAGCTCCAAATAATAATGAAGTTGGTCCTGTTCCAAGCAGTGTAATACTGTAAGATTTGTTGATGGTGACCTATGTTTGAGTTTGTGTTGTGTATGTTGTAGACTCACCCAAGCTGTTCGGAGTTGCAGCAAACTGCAGCAGCTATACTCATGGCGTTGTCAGCAGACAGTAAGTAGTAGCATGCAGACAGTCAGACAAATAGTTTTCCACTGAAAACGTCCAGCACGTCCATTGATAAAACAGTCCCAGTCATGATAAAACGGTCCCAGTCATGATAAAACAGTCCCAGTCATGATAAAACGGTCCCGGTCATGATAAAACAGTCCCAGTCATGATAAAACGGTCCCAGTCATGATAAAACAGTCCCAGTCATGATAAAACAGTCCCAGTCATGATAAAACAGTTTCAAAGATAATAGAAAGTTTCAGTCATGATAGAACAGTTGAAGTTAAAACAGCACATTTTCAGTCATGGTAGAACAGTCCACGGAGACTTCATGAAGCAGCTGTAGGAGTATTGGTCAGTACACCTTGAATATGACGGCTACATGCCTTGTTTCCATTCAGATAGGGCAGGCGAGCTGATCGGCAGTTTGGGCGGTATAGCTCAGATACTGTGTGCCATGAGGACCCATCTACAGAACCCCGAGCTGTGTGCCACCTGTTGCAGCGCCATCTGGAGTCTCACAGTCAATGGTGGGACACTATGTAACAAGCAGAACATATGCTAAACAAAACAAGTTAGGGATCATAAATATTTTTTTTATTATTATTAAAAAATATTCAACTTTTTTGGTTCAGTATATACTGTGCTTATGTGGGGCTTAATGTTTATTTACTTTGTTACCCTTCTATTTCATCTGATCTTAATTTTATTTCCTTTTTTAAGCTGAAACTTTGTGTACATGATATCTCCTAAACCATGGAATGGAATGCTATGACTTTTAACAATATTGCCATGTATTGTCAATCTGGTCCACAAGTAGGTTATGTTATTACTGTGTATCATTGTTCGACCATATCTCAACTTCTGTTATGTGTTTTCATAATCTTCTTAACCTTTTAACAGTTTTTTAATGATCTTTTTCATCCAATGTTACAAATAGTCCAGTCAGGTGACTACATGTATTTATATCTTGCTCTTCAGAAAATAACTTGCAGACAGCGTACGACAGTCAAGCTCTTGAGACGATATGCTCGGCGATGAAGACACATCCTGCGTCGCAGGAGGTGGCAGATGCTGCATGTGCGGCCCTCTTCTCTCTCTGTTTGGATGGTGAGTTGAGGAGGGCAAAGAAATCAGTCAGTGTAAATGTTGAACTGCCATGACTGAGTCGCTTTGCGCTTCTTCCCACGATTAAACTCTCAGCTTCAATACATTTCATAGTGGCACCCATTCACTCATTGTTAATACAGCTTTTGAAGTAAGCATTGTATTCTCCCCCTAGGCAGATCCCTTTTGAAAACCAAATGTATGTTGTAGGCTGTAGAACTTTCTGAGGGAGGTTTGTTATATGTTGGAACCCCCTTTTAAAAATGCTGGATGTGCCCTTCCCCCCTAGTAGAAGTCCTAGTTAAAACTGACTCCGAAGTTTTGGTTGAAAATGTAAAACCTTGAATGGGGGAAAAGATTTTAACATTTATAACCAAGGAGTGTTTTAACTAAGGTATGAGCTATCTAAATCCAAGAAATACCAGAAAGAATAAGAACACATACGGGTCCCTTATAGTGAAACAATAAAGCAGTCCTGGTTTAAGACAGTGGGTCAGAGAAAGACCACATGCAGCATGCAGACAACTGAAAATTTGGCCTCAACTGGACAGGATGTTGACCGTTCTGAAGTAGTGTTTGCAAACAATAGCTGATAACCCCCAAGCTTACTTGGCTCTGCTTGCCTTACCCCACAAGAGAAGTTTTCTACTCTAGTGACCCCAGCCTTATCACATGACAAGACTTTTATCCCGTTTGTAAACAAACATACTTCTTCTGAAACAAGAACCGACGGACCTAATACAAGACTGTTTGTGCGCTTTACATATTGTATTGCATGATTATATAGATATACTACTACAACTGCGACAGTGAGGTGCATGACAATACAGCTTTACACATCGAAGTGACCGTATCGCTTGATCTCCGTAGGGCTGGGATGACAGAATAATTACATGGAGGATAAATATGTATATTACAATAGTTTTCCACTTTTTAGGATATTTTCTCAATGAATGTTATGTTTATCTAAATGTGTTGACTTGTCCAAATTGAAACTTTAAGACATGAATGGACTGTGTAAGATTTGACGATGTGACAGAGGAACTTGGCTGACCACAAGAGACTCTTGGTAGGAGAGTGATTGGCTTCATACCACGGAGGCTATATTTATATTGTCACCTAGGTAGGGCTGGGCCGGGTAACTCGGGTAACTCGGGTACCCGGGTCGGGTGGGTACTGAGTAGGACCCGGGTACCCACAGAACTACCCGGACCCGTGGTTAGTCATGTGATTATATAATTGTTTAATGGCAAAAATTATCTAGAACACTATGGTTACACTATTTCTTTCTGACTTTGCACACATTCCTTCTGACTTTATATGTTTGTATAATGATAAAACATCAGTAAACTTCAGTGTATGCATGACCAGATCGGTTTATACGTGTATCTTAATTTATTTTGACAGGAGTACGGTCAATCTATTCCCAATCGGACATGTTTTACCTATCTCTTGAGACCTACAGCGGGTACCCGGGTAGGGTCAGGTAATAGGGAGGTGGGTACCCGGGTAGTAAATTTGGACTCGTCCCAGCCCTACACCTAGGCTTTTATAAACACTGGCTTGTAATCTAATCAAACTGGCAATTAGTATTTTGTAACTCAGCCGTAAGAAAAACACACAACCTTTTTCTTCAGTTTGCCTCTAATATAAACATGACTGAAGCCAGTTTACTCTGCACAGTGCTTGGGTCTTTGGCTTCGCTGTGTGGAGCTCTATTGTTTTGGTTTGAGAATTGAATCGGACATGTGACGTCACACTCGGAAAATATTACACACCGTCGACATGCTGTCCCTTTAATAGAAGGATGCTCTTAACATTGTTTTCGAAACATAGGAATAGTGCATTGCATGGGACAAATTTCTGTTTTGTGATGTATTTGTGCAGCCAGTCTCATGCCTTATAATCTTATGTCTATGTCTTTCCCTGTGGTGAATGTATTAGTTTGCTGTTTCACTAAAACTTCGCTTATCAGCAATGTTTAGGTCACCCTCCGACAAAGTTTCCTTTTTTTGAGAGCCAATGATACCTGAAACCAATTTAGAAAAAGCATCACCTGTGTACTTCATATGTTTCAGAAAAGAGTTTTGACGTTGTGAATGACCTGGACACTGTGGGCCTACTTCTCAGTGCAATAGAAACACACGACAAGAGCGCCAAAGTGGTGAAGAACGCCTGCATGGCACTGTCTGGACTGGTGGAACCAGATGGTCAGTATAAACAGGTTACATGTATGTCATGAGACACACCCTCTTTCACCCTCTTGCTGCTACTGCAACTAGTAGTACTTGGGGCGGTCGGGTAGCCGAGTGTTTAAAGCGTTCGCTCGTCACGCCGAAGACCCGGGTTCGATTCCCGACATGGGTACAATGTGTGAAGCCCATTTCTGGTGTCCCCCGCCGTGATATCGCTGGAATATTGCTAAAAGCGGCGTAAAACCATACTCACTCACTCACTCACTCACTCACTCACTCACTCACTCACTCACTCACTCACTCACTCACTCACTCACTCACTCACTCACTCACTCACTCACTCACTCACTCACTAGTAGTACTTGGAGTAGTAGTAGAGGTTGCAGCAGTACCAGTAGTAGCAGCATTTGTACTAACAGTAGTACTAACAGTAGCCCCCTAAAGACAGAATAGGTTCTACATACACCTTTGATATGGTAAAAACTGATGGCCAAAATGGTAAAAAAAATAATTTCTGGTCAAGCTATAGTAGTCACACACCATTGATGAGACATGGCCCCCATGATGAAACGTCCCACATCTGATGTTACAGAGGAGTGTGCATACCGAGTACTGACAAGCGAGGGGGGGAGTGAGGCAGCAGAGAGTAAGGACGGCATCCCCGTCATCATGAGGGCGTATGAGCTGCACAAGGACAACGCCGATGTTGTGGAATCTATTGTCACTCTCATCATGGAACTCACAGAATATGGTAAATATCAATGTCTTTTTTGTTATAATATTCATAACATATTTATTTTGGCCTTTATTCAAGTAAAAGATAATTGTTTGATTTCCATGTATAAGAAGACTGGGCTCCTTTGCTTGATGGTTGACACTGAACATTGTCTGTTGTCGCATACTATGACTGCATATCAGGGATGAACCATTAATATTCGGGGGGGGGGCTAGCATTTTTGTGCGTGATAGAATATTTTTTCAGTTACCGGTACAGTATTTTCTTTCTGAAATGAGAAGTCAAATCAATTATCATTTTCTACATTTTCCAGTATTCTTTGGTACAAATTTGTTTTGTTTTTAAATAATTCTGCCACACCCACCCCTTGAATATAAACTGGTCGATACCTTTACCAGGCAAAACCTCCCTTGAGAATCTGACATCTATTTACTTGGTCAGGAAATATTTCAGATTGAATGAAAACCAAGACTATTTTGAGAAATGAAGACATGCAACTTTTATTATCATATGGGTATCAAGTTCTTTATTAATTGATGTTTGTGTGTAACAAGTTTCGGGGGTGTATACAAGTTTCATGTCTTCATGTTCTTTCAACTACTAAATGTCAATGGAACACGTCTTTTACTGTTTAAATTCATGTTGAAAGTGTTGAACATGCAACTTGATTGTTATTTTTACTTTCGTGTTATTGTTACAACATGGAAATTCTTCCTTTGAATTTAAAGGTGAACTAACAGCTGCTGTGTTTCTCCGAATCAAGAGCTTGTAATGTTTCATCATGTTTTCTTTTAGATGATATTTGTAAGGATTTATTGAGCTTCAAAGTACCTGCACTCATAAAAGAGATTCAGTTGAAGTTTAATAAGAATGAGGTGAGACAGGTATAAGTTGATCGGTGTGGACGGGTGTGTTGTGACTTGCGGCTCTGTTTGACGAGGCTCGTGGTGTCGTGGGGTCAGGAAGCAACGTTATCGCCTTTGTTGAAGAAGTCCCTTTGATTGAATGAGGATATTTGTATATTAAACATACAAAAAATTAGTCTCTGAAAAATATCAGGTTTTAGAAGAATGTGACATGTGACAGTCATGTTACTCAGTCAACCTCAAAGCTTTTCCTTCAGACCAAATTTCTGGGTAGCACAGTGGTTGCAGCATTCTCTCATCACGCCTAGAACTGGGTTTGATCCCTGATAAGGGTACAATGTGTGAAACTAATTCTAGTCATCCCGACTATTGCTGGAATCGTATTACTTAATGCTGTGTAAAGAGTCACTCACTCAGTGACCAGATTACAAAAGGCAATATCATCATTAATGAATGTAAGTTATTATATCAGGACATGGCTCCATTATGCCAAGCTATCCTGCAGGATATTTCTGACCTACAATCATTGTCTTCTTGATATTGTTTTGAAGAATGGTTGACAATTCAATTTATGAGTGAGAGGGTATAATTTTACACCGCTTTTATCAATGTTCCAGCATTGTCACGTCGGGGAAACCAGTAATGGGCTTCACACATTGTACCCATGTCGGGAATCGAACCCGGGCCTTTGCTTTAACCACTAGGCTACTCCATCGCCCTCAATTTGATTTATGGCATGTTGAGACATTTTTTAACATAATACTACCGGCAAGTTTTATTGTCCTAGTTTCGGTTAATGACGGCCCAGCTTTGACCCAATTTTACTTCAAGTCAATACCAGGATACTCTTACCTCCACTTCATAGACAGACATCATTCAGGGGAGATTACTCTTGTATGATATGCCTCCACCACATTACCAGCCTCTTTGGACTTACTCATTGCACTGGCACTGTGATATCATCTTAGTCATGGGATGTAATTGGGGCATGATATCTTCATGGGCGCTGATATCATTGTGATACTCTTCTTGATCGTTGTGATGCAGTGCTGAGCAATATGTTATCAAAAGGGACATGTATTACTAGGGTTAATATGAGATCTGTAAGTGTGATGTCATGATGATATCTGGTTGAGCGTGGTATTTAGGTCGTATTGGGGTCACTGTTACATTGTCTAGGTCATTGTGATATCGTCATGGTAACTCTGATATTGTCAGGCTAACTACGATACCATCTGGGTAACTCTGATATCGTTTGGGTAACTGTGATATAGTCTGGGTCATTGATATCGTCATGGTAACTATGATATCATCAGGGTAACTGATATCGTCTTGGAAGCTAGGGTTACTCTGATACTGTCAGGCTTACTATGATATCATCAGGGTAACTGATATCGTCTTGGAAGCTAGGGTTACTCTGATATTGTCAGGGTAACTATGATATCATCTGGGTCACTGTGACATTTTCTGGGTCACAGTGACCTGGCTTTATATGACACCTGTGTGTATTGATGCTTGCATGTCTTTGCACTAACATTTCCTCACATAACTCAGGTACTGCATGTATTGTGACCTGCTCACATAACTACTGTATGTAGGCAGATGTAAATGTCTTTACAGCTTTGACAAATCATTCAAATTTCAGAACATCACAAAGAAAGTTGAAAAGCTAAGGAATATCACTAAGATATTATATTGATCACTCACATTGAAGCATTTCTCAAAGGACTATATTTTCGTAAAATGTTCATCATTGATAGTCAATAACTTTAAATCTGTTTCGTCGTCAATAACTGAAAGCTGATCATCATGGACTTGTGATCCTAGCATCAGCAACAGCCGCTGTGCTGAGCAACAGCTGTTATGTGACATCAACAACTGATTCAACAAGCCAGAACTCTTATCTTTCATATTTAGGGGTACATGGAACCTTATGGAATGTTCAGTAGTTAGAACAAGATCTGTCAATATTATCAGCTGATTTCACTTAGAGTTAAATAATTACCCTGGACTCATTTGAGGGTAACGTCCCCATTCTCATCTCTCTTATCATTAACTTTGCACAGCATTCCTCTTGCTCGTGAGCTTTAAGTCAACAACTAATTAACATGCTGCTTCTGGACGAGAGTTCGGCGTAGATCCGCATTCAAAATTACAGCCTCATTACAAGCATTTGTCCGAGACAAGTGTGTCCACTAGCCTGTAAAAAGTCTAATCTCCGTGGAAACAAGACTTTGATAAAAAGGCTAGTGGATGGTCATACCTCGGGAACATGCATTACAAGCACTAAATATATTTTATCAAAAAAGTTTACTGTTTCTAAATATACATACACATACACACACACACACACACACACACACACACACACACACACACACACACACACACACACACACACACACACACACACACACACACACACACACACACACACATATTCAAAATTGTAGAAAATTGTGATTTTGCTCATTGTGTCAAACATGAAAGAACAGAGCAATTTGATTGGACTGCTATTTTTAGCATTGTGCATTGTGTCACACTGTGGTGGGTCCAGGGTGTTGATTATAATAGAATGGGGATATTATACACTGGATAATTATGGGTGTTTGTTCTTCCTCCTGGGTAGTGGTGAGCATCTTCAGTAGGTCCACAGTTCCCTCGTGTGGGAAGATGAGAGTTCTGGCTTACTGCACTGTGTGTGTGGTGTGTGTGGCGTGTCTCTATCCTTGCCTCTGTTTGTCACACTGTAGATGACATGAACGCTGAAATGCACCACCTAGCGGTGGGATCCCACATACTGCTCCCCACTCACAAACGTTTCCGGGACAACAGGGTAAGATGTGCACTTGTAAGGCCAGTTGCTATGGCAATGGTTGTCATGTATTATTCATTATGATAATATACTCAAGGTCAACACTGTTGGTGATTGTTCAGAACAAACATTGGATGATACATTGTTCCAGATGAATTTTATATTAAATCTCTGTAAAGTTCTGATATATTTGATTTCTATCATAAAATGTGTTATTCCGATTCATTTGTGGTACACTTTGTGTTATAGCAATACAATCATATGATTATGAACCTAAAGTAAAGTCTTACATGTATCATTAATTGAAAAAGAGACCCGAAATTAGAATTGGGCATGCTAATTTACTTTGTCTTGAGTACTGTTAAATTAAAAATCCTGTTTATTTGGGTTTTTTTTATAAATAGCTCAAACTGTAGCTGTGAGAAATAAAACACATGTACTTTACACATAAAAATAACATTGGGATAATGATTCCAAGACTATATCTTTAATTATGATCAACGCTATATCAATGAGGCCAGATCAATTTTATTTCTTGTTAGTAATTTGACAAAAAGGGGACTTTAATTAATGCCATTCACATGTTACATTTGTTATCAGAGGTCAAGCAGTAGGGAACAAACTTGGTTCCAACATCAATGAAACATTTTTTTATAATAGTTACTAGGCAACTAATATATACCTTCTACAAGCCAGAGCTCTTTTTTTCTGTAAAACATTATGTAAAATACACAATTAAATATTTTCTGTAATGTAAATTTCGGTCTTTGTAGTGGGCACTGTTAAAAATAACTTATAGATAGATCTAGAAGTTGATCAGGACCCCGTTCCACAAAGCCATCTTAGCACTAAGGTGATCGTAACTCCCACACTGGCTTACAATAGTCGTAGCGCTAAGACCGCTTTGTGGAACGGTGCCTTTGGGGTGATTATACTAGCGCAGCACTTACGACAATACAGTATTATGTTTTTTAGAATTAAGGGGTGGACTTGTTTGTAAAACAAGAAAACAAATTGGTTTGGCCTTAAAGTTTTAGAAAAGCCCTCACAGAGTTAGTGTATATGTGAACTTCATGTTGGTTGTTATTGCAGGACATCATGAAGCCGTGTGAGGCGGCCATGCAGAAGCTCGGAGTCAACAAGCCATTATAGACAGCCACCATTCCTTCTCCCTCATACACACTGTCGTTAGCATCATAGAAACAGAAACAATTTTCACACTTAAACTAAACAGATGGGTTAATATATTTCCAAAATGTTCACCAGACAAGTGTGAATCATTTTTATTTGCCTAATATATTAATCCACATGCTGAATTGCAACATTCATTTTTTTAGCGCCTCGACGCCTAACACAGAATTGTTTTGTTTTCTAACATTGTGTAAGGCAGGGACTTTTCAACATTATTTCACAAGGGCAGATAACCTGTAAAATTTATGTTATTCAATATATCCTACTGCAAAATGTCAAAGACTTGCGTGGTTCTTAACTTCTTTTCAGTAGTATATAGTATTTTATCTTCTTTTTACGGAAATAATGTAAATAACTATAGGTTTCCCCACTTAATGTGAAGATGTCGGCTGAACAGTTTTTGTTGGAACAACTTCACATAAAATCACCCGATCCGTCATGAACAAGTATTGACAACTCTTCATGGATGACATCTTGTTGCTAAAGACTGTGCCATTATTCAAACATTTAAACAGTTGGCATGAACCAGCCAATCAGCATTATGCGAAACTTTTGATGCTCAGTTAGATCCACTGAAAATAATTTCACCGATATTCCGATTCCCGGAAATATTTTGTCATTATATGTGGCATCTATGAATGAAAGCATAAGTGCAGTCCAGGAATTAATTTGTCTTACTGTAGAGGAAATTGTCCTCAGGTGCAGGGATGTAATATTTGCTAATCCCTATGGATGATTTTAAAACATGTTTGCTTCAAAACTTCTGCTACACTGTACAAATACTAGTATTTGTTGTGGTGGTTGTTATTTTGTTGATATGAGAATGTGAAGAATGTTGTAGAGACTATAGAATTACTGTGATCTAAGTTGGGTGCTTGGGGTCTGTGTCGGCATCCATTGCTCATTGTCATGTCAGAATAGGTTTGGCCAATATCTTTGTTGTTATTGTACAAGTTATGTTCTCAGTTTGTATCGTTTGATTTTTGAGGAAATGTTTTGTCTGAGAGTTAACCTTTTTTTTATCATTTGTCATGTACAAGTTGATTTCTTGGGCCAGTTGGTTCTGCTCAAGCATTTATTTCTGTGAATTTGATAATATTTTGTATGTGAAACTGTTATATTTCCTGGCGAGTGTGAGAGTGTCAGTGTTTTGTTACAAGTTGTAGTACAATCATGAAACGAAGTGCCTAAATAAGTGCAATCCTGACTGGATTGAACAATTCACACTAGGGCTGGGACGAGTCCAAATGTACCACCCGGGTACCCACCACCCTATTACCCGACCCTACCCGGGTACCCGCTGTAGATATTTAGAGATGGGTACAAAACGTCCGATTTGGGAAAGTTTGACTGTAGCCCTGGTAAATTGTACTGAGATACATGTGTAAAAGGATCCGGTCATGTATACACTGAAGGTTACTGCATGAAGTTTTATCTTTATTCAAACATATAAAAGTCAGAAGGAATGGGTGCATTGTCAGAAAGAAATGGGAACATTAGTGACTTATAGTGTAACCACAGAGTTTAAATCAATTTTGTCATTAAACAATATATCACGTGACTAACCACGGGTCCGGGTACCCGGGTCCTACTCAGGACCCACCCGACCCGAGTATCCGAGTTACCCTTCCCAGCCCTAATTCACACCACACAATCCTAAATGGATTGAACAACTTCAATATACACCAATAGCTTTCCGTAATAGCCTTATGTTTCTGTCCCTGTCATTAAGATGTCTTTATCATCAAACATGTGAATGGGCTCATTTAGGGCCACACTGTGTTTCTTACCAGCCCTGAATTAGTGAAATAGTATATTTTCCTTTGGTTTTATGAAAGGGTGTACCCTTATCAGCTGTATAGACCTTCATGCAACAACTTTCATGATATATCCTAGATCAGGGCCACTGTATATGTTTCATCAGCCCTTACCCAGGATTCAAGTAATATGTGTTTTCAATGTCTCCATCTTACACAAATATGTATTTACATTTCCTGATTTGTGCTAAACACGGGCAAATCAGAAAATGTACACAGCGGTGATTTGTTTTCCAAACTTGTTTGTTTCTACAAAATAAAATCCAAATGGAATGCAGAACAATGCTTAATTATAGGAGGTGAGGTAATCTAGACTTGCCAAATCATTCTAGACTTAAGCTGGATTCATTTTTCTTATTTATTCCCAAGCGTCTGGGTGACAGATTAGACCAGAGCCAAGAGCCACAATCTCAAAATCGAACAAAAGAGTTTAAAATATATTTTTTAATTGCCCAACTACCTCATCTTTGATGGTTTTGAAAAAGAGAAATATAAAACGACAGATATCATAGATAGTGAAAGTACTATGACCGTTTTATGTTATTGATAAGATGCATCGCATGTTACTTGGAAGTCAAAGGTCATTTGTTTGCGTCACTGAATGCCCGATACATAGAGATTTCACCCGAGATCCTTAAATATATCAAAGACGAAATGATGAAATTTCCTAGGGATATTTTGATATATTTGAGCTTGGAAAACAAGATTCTATTTATCATCCAAAGTAATACTACAACCTTTTTCTGTTCGTGCAACGTAATAACCAGGGTCTGGGCCTCATTCCTCAAAGCGATCTTAGCGCCACAGTGATCGTAAGCCTATGTTCAAATATGGGACTTACGATCACCTTAGCGCTACGATTGCTTTGAGGAACGGGGCCCTAGAGTGTAAAAAGTACAGCTACAGCTTCAGTGGCAGTGAGAAGAGTGATGTCATTGGATTGTGGTGTCATGGTAACCAATGATGTCACAATGGTTTGCAAGCATTGTGATGTAATTTCATTGTAGTATATTTCCTCTGAGATATTGCTTGATCTCGCCCAAGCCATATCTCCTGTGGGAACCAGTTTTGTAAAAAATCTCATAAAAACCAGAGGGTAAGTGTTTTATCTAACTTAAAAAAACCAAAAGAAACTTAAAACAACATTTTTAAGTTTCAAAAGTCTTTCCATTGAACCTTAGGAAAGGGGCGTAAAATATCTGTTGCTGGCATACTGGTACTTCAAAAAGACATTCTAAAAAGTATTGTGATTTGTAAGCGCCTCTGTAGCCTTGTGGTACACTCACTGGGCTAGATACGAAGGTTGCATGTTTGATTCCCAGGAATATAAAGAAAACATTTGTCATTTGATTTTACATTTCATTACATTGTGTTAAAATTTCTAGCGAGAAACATTCATATGTTACAATATAAACAGATAAATCCCTGGAATATTATATAAAATCCCAGAGATATTATAACATCCCTGTTTATGAGATTTAACCCGGCTGGAGAACAATCATCTTCCTGAGGCAAGGGAGTTTACTGACTGTAAAAGTCCAGTTTCCACCCTTGCCGAACTTGGCTGGAATTCCTGGGCTCGACCGTAGCGCCACCAGTGGTTATTACAAGTTATGTCCCTTCTAAGCCTCTCATATGAACCCATCAGATTCCACCTCTCGTATCACTTGCGTTTGCTTCACACAAAATGGTGGCGCCCAGTCAGGATGATCTGATCGATAATCAAGATCCATATTGTGATAAAACGGGTCTCACATCGCGAAATGCATCATATCCCGTGAGCACCTTGATTTAAAACATGATAAGATTTGGAAAATATCTGTTGACAACGAGTTGGCGGTGCACATGCTTTGCAAATCCTGTAATCGACAGAAATCTGCACGACATTTTACAAACCGGATTTCGAATTCAGTGCGCTATTTTGATTAGACTATGCATAGACTTGTTAGCCCAGCCAAAATGTAACTCCATAATACCAGCCTAGTTCGACAAGGGTGGAAACTGGACTTTTATAGTCAGTTACCTCCCTTGCCTCGGGAAGATGAGAACAATAGGATGATGTCAGTGGAAGTTTATGCCGGTATGTAACCTCCATCACCAGTATTGTATAACTCTATGTAACCTCCATCACCTAACTCACCTGTGTAGCCGCAGTGTCTTGAAGAACATAGCTGGGACTCCCAGTTAGTTCATGTGTCATGTTTCTCTGGGTGGTAGAAGCGTTCTGTGATAAACATTGCCACCTCAAGAATATTCAGCACTGATTCCAGGTCATATTGACCAATCAGAGTCGAGCGATGTCTTGGTTGACAGTGTCTGAATACACAAGTCAGTTTTAAAGAGGGACTGTACTTCAAGCTCCGGCCTCAGCAGCACAAAGGGATTTTCGTGCTCTGCATATGACGTTTTTTATTGACAAAATAATAAAGTAACAATGTTATGATTAAATGAGTCAAGAAGGTGTAAGGCTTCAAAAATGTTTGAAAATATACCGTATTCGACGTAATAAGTGCCCAGGGCGCTCTCAAAATTAGAAATAGGGGGCTCTTATTAGAATGTTATTTTGGTGAGTTGAAAGATAAATTTTGTGGTTTATGCTGACAGCCTGAAATGTTTATGTACGACAGATATATTTTTCCAGAATTAAATGTCCATAATTAAGGGTGCATATAACACACGAGTGCGTATTGTACGCGAATAAATAAGTCTTGTGTACATTGATCAATCAGAAGGGGTGCTAATTGGGATTGTTCACTAGCCAATATCTTAGCAAATGTTGCTGTGGGCGCTTATTACGTCGAATACGGTACCCAGGCAATTTGACACACTGAGAATGATTTTATTGGGGCTGATGTTTGTTTAAAAGACTTGCTGCTTTTTTAACTTATTTGAATCTAAAATACTCTTTTTTTATCAAAGAAAGTCATTGTTTTGATGCAGATAGAAAGAGAAATTACACTTTACATTTTTAGACATCATTTTCACAAACTCATTACATAATCATGTTAAGGATTTTCACAAGTCTGTAGTCAGAGCATTTCATGTTTTCTAATATAGGTATTTTTCAAATCTATTTATTTATTAAAAATGTCCAAATTAAATTTGAAAGGATGGGTCACTGTAAGACTGCGGGGACACAATCTTACTGTACATTGTGTAACATGTTTATACCCAACTGTTTTGTTATAGTGTTTATAACCAACTGTATTGTTTTTGTGTGTTTATAACCAACTGTATTGTTATCGTGTGTTATTTTTGTTGTAAATTGTTTTTATATTATCCTAATAGTTTTAATACAGCTGTGATAGCTTTAACCATTAGCCTTATATAGTGTCTGTCCACGCCAGAGTCAGACTACCACAGACCAGCCCCATCCCTGACCATAGTAGAGGAGAGGAAATCCCAGCCCTGACCCTAGTAGAGTAGATGGAACCCCAGCCCTGACCCTAGTAGAGTAGAGGGAACCCCAGCCCTGACCCTAGTAGAGGAGAGGGAACCCCAGCCCTGACCCTAGTAGAGGAGAGGGAACCCCAGCCCTGACCCTAGTAGAGTAGAGGGAACCTCAGCCCTGATCACAAGTAAAGGGGCCCCACCCTAGCATATAGTAAAGGGTGTCTGACGCTACGTAAAGAGAGTCAGATTCTAACAGGGTCCGGACTCCTGAAGTTGCATTGTATATTTCTAGATGCAAGTTTGTGATAGGCTGATCTCTGGCGAGCGTCCCTATCATGTGACTGTGATCTCAGGTTCTGTCCAATCAGCAAACAGTAATTCTAGCTGGAACTCACCTGACTGTTTAACTTTACTGATAAATAAAAACATTTGTTGAAGTTGACCTTTGTTGTTTATTACTTATTGACAATTGAACTTTTGTATGGTGGAAGAAGCAGTTAGTTGTCAAACATTGGGTAAGGACTTCCAACGCTAGTGAACCAGTCACCTAAAGTACTCACGGAAATGAAAAAACCCTGTTTTTCTCAATTTAAAAATTGACACAAAGTGTTACGTAGCTGTAAATACGAAATAACAAAACAACTCGAAAAGTACTAGTCTGGATTTGCTAGTTTGATCTCAGTGAACAATACAAAATGTACTTTACAGGAGGTAATTTGTCGGCACTTTCAACATTCAAAAATAAAACTAAGTCCAAATTGACATAGCAGAAACAGACTATAGGCATTATGCACCTGTTCTCACCTGTCGTGAAGGTGTCATAGGTCACCTTGATCTACTTACACCTGGTTATGCCCTGTTTCACAATAGTCTGTTTTATTCACATTTTTACACACTTTTACGTGTAAAAAACATTTGATACGCTGTATTTGTGCCACGGCCCAATTAGTACTAATTTAGTTGTTTGAATATTTACATATTTTGTATATTAACTGCAATAATTTAAGATCTGAGGTCGAAAAAACAGTTTTTTTTCATTTCCGTGAGTACTTTAGTATGGAGGTTAATACAGTGTCTGTCACCACTATTCAAGCCATATCATGGTGGCCTGTAGAACCTGGTCCTGGCAGATCAGTGGTCAATAATATAATGGCGTGTCAGCTTGTTGTGGGAGGAAAGCAACATGTAATGCAGGTCTCAGATGTTTACCACTTTGGTGAAACACAAAGTAGGGGTATAGTGATAACAAACCTAAAAACAATCAGTGCAAACTGGAATTCAAACCCATGATCCAAGGTTTCTGGCCCAAGTAAGGAATGCAACTTCCCAGGTACTTGTCAGAAATAGGGTGTTTGTAAAAGTTGAAATATCCAACTCTGTCTACCACATGCTTACTGTACATAGAGAGATAACATAGGTACTCTAAATTAACCCGAACACCCAGAACATGAGCCTGATGGCAAGGGAGGCGAAAAAACTTAATTCCGTAAGTTTTGACACATCTGAAAAAATTAACAGTGAAATTTTGAATTTAGGAATTCTAGAGAATTCTTCATTACAACGATTAAACGAGCTGGGTGATCCTGACAGACTTTCTAGTGTGGCAGATTAACTGCATATTCTCTCGAGTCCGTGGATACCTACGATGGCGATGCCGTTCATTTTCAACTATGATGATTAGATTTATAATTTACTGTGAGCCCCCCCCCCGTCCCACAAAGTGATCTTAGCGCTAAGTCAATCGTAACTCCCATTCTTTAACATTGACTAATGACAATCGTAGCGCTAAGATCGCTTTATGGAACGGGGTCCTGAACTGTAAATCCCCCGAAAAGTTGATATTTGTCAAATGGATAAGACCTGCAAGCAACATCACCCCCCACCTCTCTAACTTAGGGTTTAAACTTTGTGACCGACATCAAACCTTTCAACCGCTCCCTAAGCTGCCATTTTGGCCATTTGATCCCCAAGAATGGAGCATCCCTGTATGATGTGTGTTTGTTGTTGAACGCCATCCACAGCAATATTCCAGCTATATTATGCAGCCTAAATAATCAAGTTTGAAAAGACAATCTAGTAGTTAGTGAGTGAGTGAGTGAGTTGGGTTTAACGCCGCTTTTAACAGTATTACAGTTATATCGCGGCGTGTCAACTTAATGTGGGAGGAAAGCCCGAAGTGATTCGGGTCTCAGACGTTTACCACTTCAGTGAAACTCACGAGCACAGGTATGGTGCTGACAAACCTACAAACATAATCAGGGCGAACCGGGATTCGAACCCACAATCATAGGTTTCTGGCATGCCCAAAGGACAAAACTCTGCACAGCGAATCTTGGGCGAGACGACTGGGCCACCCATGCCCCCAGACAATCTTGTAACTGACATCATGAGGATTGATCTATTGTTGTTGATGAATAGTTGGAACAAACACAGATCTGAATTGTAGGTGATTTATTCATTGATGATATTTACAATGAACATGTACACATTTAATAAAAGTTTGTATCAAATGCTGTCATAAAGAAAAAGCATGAAAGATACAATACAATACTCGTTACTCAAATTGTCAAGTAACAGTAGTGTTCATTTCGAATAAACACAATTGATTCACTGATTTCTGCCTGGTTCATCCATTGTACATATTAACACAATTCAGACGTTTCGGTTCAATTTGTTATGGATTCTGGGCATAGTCAACACTAATGACATATCACTGGAAGAGAGAAAGCTCTCTGCTTACTGGCTATAGAATGTATGCAAACTGTTCTGTGCAATTTTTCCATGTTTTTTTCCCCAAAATATGTAAAGATCTATTATTGTTAGGTAATTTACTATTGTTGAGGATTGGTCAGAAAAATACAAGGCCTTTCTAAAGCACAAAATCCAATTAAGAGGCCTTTTCAAGGCAAAATTGAAACACTTTTAAAGACAAGCCTAAAAATTGAAAGCCTTTTCAAACCCTGATTACCCTAAAATAATTCAACCAAACTTGTTATTTTGCTCAAATACATTTTCTCCAACATCAATACCAGCTTGATTTTAAAAACCCACACGAAGCAATACACTTGTTTGACCTTGACCTCATTGCTATTTATAGACAGAAGAGTAATACTCGTCTTCAAGCTCATATAGATCCGTGGCCATCTCATCTCGGAGGACCATGAGTTTAGCGTCGACCTCACTCTGCATGTGTTTGTATAGCTGTGTGTTCTGGGAGATTGACTCATTCACTGACGGGAAATCATTCAGTATTAAAAACTGTTTTAAGTCCGACACAAGTTTCATCAAGGATTCACCTGCTCTCACCTGAAAAAGGTAAAAAGACACATCACAACTAAACTGGAAGAGAGAACATATTGCGCATAAAGCGGAATTGAATTGGTTGCTCATAGCCAGAATCACATCAACATTTTTACGACAGCTTTTTCTCAGGCAATGCTTTTGATACACTGGAGGGGGCAGTTAACCTGTTATTTTATTGATATGGAAGTCAAATTACTACCCAAACTTACTGTACAAACAGTGTCTGAAATTGGCACTAGTCCTGTTGTCCTTGCCAAACTTCCCAGTAGTTAAGGTATCATAAGGCCTAGTAGAAATGTGCCATTTGTAAGTGTTTTGCTGTTTGTTATCATTATAAGGACAAGTGGACGAAAAATGTTAGTTTCTACCACTGAGAAACAATCTCATTAAAATCAGATCCTTTACTGGATATGGAAATTACTACCCAAACTTACTGTAGAAACAATCTCATTTAAATCAGATCCTTTACTAGATATGGAAGTCAAATTACTACCCAAACTTACTGTACAAACAATCTCATTAAAATCAGATCCTTTACTTCTGTTCAGTACCTCTCTGCGTGGAAAACTGAGGACACCTTCATAGAAGGTCATGGCAGGTGAACTCTAAATGAACTTTGACCACAGTGTGAGGTGAAATTGGGTTTTAATTGGGCATGTGTGTGTGTGTGGCTGCTTGTACTAGTCCAGACTGATGTCGATTTATAGTGCTAGCTCACTAAGATACCATGCCACGGTTTAACATGAATACCCCACTCAGACACAGTATACTGACTCCCAGCCGACCAGTCCTTGTTTTAGCCCCTTAATGCAGGGCACAAGAAAGGGTAACAACAAGTACCATCTTTTAACGTCTTTTGGAATGATGCGGCCGTGGATCGAACCTTGGACCCTGGACCTTCCGCTCTCCGGACGCTCTACCACAAGACCACGGAGGGGGTCCAGTCTAAAAGAAGGATGCCTGGCTTCCTGAGCCAATCAGATGGCAGCTTTCCAAATTGATCCCACCCATTTGTCACCACTAGCCCCTTTCCATAACCAGCAAGAAGACTCGACCCTCTATCGATGAATGTTTTGTGCGAAAATAATAATTTTTTTATTTTACATATGTCTTGCATCTAAAAATATACCCAACATACAGCTTAATATGTTCAAGCATGCTGTATAATACCTTAAGTCACGATGTGTTTTGAATAGCTTCTGGAAAATATATACATAGGAAAAATATATGTGAATCATTACGCCACGAGTTGACAATTCTTTAAGCTATGCCCGCTTGCGCTTAGATGGAACCCAGTTGCAAAAAATGGCCAGGAGAGGGGCACAGGTCACTATTCGGCTTATCCCGGAATAACACCAGTTGGTCACGAATGTGATCCCACCATGAAATTTGGAGTGTACATGAAAACCCACACAGAACCCAAATACATGTATTCCTTTGGTGGTACTCCATGTTGGATGTAGATGCTGTGGGCTCAGACACAACAGGGTGTATAAATTATTCACACTACACAGCCTTTATTGTGTATTATTTATATTTCGAATTGTTTAGAAAGTTCACTGATGTAACCTTCTATGGAGGGGTAGTCACATATTCATGCAGAGGCATCGTATCCTTGTAAAAGATTTGATTTCCTGACATTGCTGTAGAGTAAGTGAGATGGGTTTAACACCACTTTTAACAATATTTCAGTTATTATATCATGGCATGTCAGCTTGATATGGGAGGAAAACCCCAAGTGATGCAGGTCTCAGACATCTACCACTTTGGATTAAACCCACGAGCACAGGCATGGTGCTGACAAACCTAGAAACATAAACATGGCAGACCAGGATTCAATCCCTCGGTCAAAGGTTTCTGACTCAGCATGCTCAGCCCAAAGGACACGAGTCTGTATAACATATTGTGCCACATACAAAAGCTTTTCTTTTTCAAAGAATTATATAGCTATTGTTCAAAGTTTTTACACCAAGCTTACAAGTTTTAACAATAAATCTTATTCAAATCATATCTTTTACTCCAACTTGATACCCTTCTTGATGGGTATCATGGCGGAGGACACAAGGATTGGTCGACAATATAACATCAATGTGGGAGACCCAGATCTGAGCTCAGAAGAAGAATTTGTTGATCATTTTTAACAATAACGAAAGAAACAATGATCATGACAATGATGATGGTTCACAAAAGCACACACTGGCTCTTTCCCTGCCAGCTAGGTGAGCTAAACATGGCTGACAACTTACAATGTTGGCTGCTCGGACCTGCATCTCATACTGGTCCTGTTCACTCTGGGTTGCGCGAGATATCTGTGAATCCTCTTCAAGCTGACGAAAATAAGGATGACCAAATTAGGGCTTTCATGTATTAGAAATTAAGGAGGCACAACTGCTGGCGAGGTATCTTGGTTTTAATGACTTAGCATGTCATTTACATGGTTTGAACTAATTATTATCTAACAACCTCATATCTTCTCCAAACGATTTAATACCCGGTTTAACAAGTTTAAACAACCTTGTATCTTATTTAAACTAATTTGCATCTCATTATGTTTGCTTATATTTTCTCCATTACACAACCTGGAATCTGTTTTTTATAAACAACTTATTATTTTGATAAATCGTTTTGGCATCATAATTAGACATTCTAGTTAATTCAGAATGTCAATTTAAGATGATAGTACAATGGGGTTTTTCAAAATTGGTCATATTTGGCATACGTATCAGAAAAATGTAATTTGCATTGGAAAAATAGCCATAACCAGCTCTGGTGTAAATAAACCCTGTTCTGACTTACACGTGCCAACTTGATAATCTCTGTAAAGTTGTCCAACATGGAACGGATGTCATCTTTTAAACGTTTGGTGTAAGACTTCAGAAGAGCATCCTTACTTTGGGGCATTGACCGGGTGTGTTGGGACATGATTCAGCTCGATAATACAAGCACAAATGATGGAATTTAATTATTGTCAGTGTCCTCTTCCTGTAATATAAATGAATCAATGTGAAAAAAAGTATGGTAAATGTATCAATGTTTTAATGAAGTGAGCATGGTGGTGAAGAATGCAATATTTGACATCAGACATGCTATTAAAAACAGTATATTATTTGGTAGGGTTCGATCCTGTGCTCGTCTGAGAATAGTATATTTCAGGAAGGACTAGTGTCGTGAAATTTCCTTGTGGATTGCCACTTTCATTATTTGTTTGATGGTAATTTCGTACATGATGTAGCAGATTATTTTCGGAACAGAGCTCTTATATCTTGTATTATTAGGCCTATAGTATGCCGAATAATAATCTGTTTCTGCAACTTTCTCGAATCATTTGGTGGGGTTAATCGAGGTTTTTAATATGTCGATAGATGGATAATGTATAAGTTACCTGAAATTACAAATAAAAGTCGCATATTATTTAGTTACTCTTCATCTGTGTACGAAAGCCAAAGCCTTTATCCACATTATTTAGAGAGTATTTGAAACCGGAAACAACTATTCTCTATTATCTCCCTTTAGTCTCGCGTTCTACGTCAAACAACGAGATTTCGGCCTTTTCTCGGCCAACCAACATGGTGGGTGCTTACGTTTTTCAGTAGGGAGGACAATCAGGCAACATCTCCACTTCAGCCTCACATAAATAACTATTTATCGTGTTGTATACATTAAACATTGATTGTTCTGTATAGCTGTGACAACATTTTGACACGCCTGCAGTTGGTGTGACCAAATAATCGAAATGAGAAAAGGGGTAAACATGCCTCGTAATCTGGAGTACACACGCTTGTATATTGTCGTTCATCCTTTCTGAGATCGTTGCCTTTCCAATTTATGGAGAATTAAGATGTCGTTTCGTGGTTTTAATCAAAATCAGCAAAACTGCTCAATTTGAAGGATGTAACAAGGTAAATGTGTTTCGCAGTTAGGTGTTACGTGAGTTGTGCCATAGTTATGGACATGTTTAAGAACGTTCAGCCATTCATCAGCTGGCGATGTATGCATATAAAATACGCTTTCCTCCTTGCCAATGCTATCTTGAGTTTATTTTCTTTGTACTGCGGTGATGAAGACTATACCATTATTCGCAGTTTCCACAGAGAGGGTGAAACCTCGAAGATGGCAAACACCTTCCTTGGATGTCTGAGCAGTCTTTTAGTTTAACATAAACATGTCATCACAAAAGAAATTGATAGAGATCTACCTGTTTTATGAAATTCTTTTATGATTCTTTTATCTAGCCGAAACCTAAAAAGGGCAAGAAGAAGATAGCGGCAGCACCTTTGCTGTCGAAAAAGGTTGAGCCAAAAACAGTGGTCAACCCTCTTTTTGAAAAGAGGCCAAAGAACTTTGGAATTGGTGAGTATTGATGCTGACGAGGCAAGTTATGAATGGAGCCATTGCACAGGGATAGAAATTAACCTAGAAAATCTACTAGGCTGAATAGTGATAATATATAGGAACACTCGCAAAGTGTTTTAAACATTTTACCAATCCTTTGGATACCTTAAACATTGGTGAAACTGGCTGTGGCTAACAGGTTAGTCCAAATTTTATCCTTGTTCCTGTATGCTGTTACATCATCTATATGATGAGAATCATGATTGAAGTAGGTGCTTTTAATGCATGGTTCATCATAGGTGCCACTGAAATCATATTACTGAGATAGCATGGTTGCAGTGATGAAGCTTTTTATCCATTATTCGCAGTTTCCACAGAGAGGGTGAAACCTCAAAGATGGTAAATTCCTTCCTTGGATGTCTGAGCAACCATGTTTTCTTAAAATATTAGGGATCACCTGGATGGCAATATTACTGGGGGATATCTACGAGTTGCAAGGATTTGCATGCTTTTTCCAAGTGTTGATAATAATTTTCCTGGATGTTGTGCAGCGTTTAGGAGACCCGATACTGATCAGTGTCTAGGTTGAATTGTGTAAGTTTGTACCCAACTGTTAATTCATTGGCTGTCAAGCAAGCATGATTAACATGCTATAATCTGGTTAGTCTAACATGGGAACTAGCTGCTTTTTGGAAATTCATAAACTCTCTGGCTGTAAGGGTTTGCCTCAAGATATTGTTAAAAAAAATGCATCTTGCTCAAAATACATTGTGTATGTTGAATTAGTAATTTGTGGATGTAAGACACTATTGGTTATTTTGGTAATAGACCTCCTCCTGCCTGATTACAGATACATTTTTAATCCCTGTAATTATAAAGTAATGATAAATGTGTTATTTATATTGTGTAACATCAGTTTACATTCTTCTACAATTGTACCACTTGCGACAATTTGTGAAGTGATTGCGATGATGAAGACCTTTCCACTATTCGCAGTTTCCACAGAGAGGGTGAAACCTCAAAGATGGTAAATTCCTTCCTTGGATGTCTGAGCAATTATTCACATCAGTTTGTGACAGTTTGTTGAAGTTTGTTTGCAGTTTGTAATATTGTTTGTTGCATTTGTAATTTATAGGTCAGGATATCCAGCCCAAACGTGACCTTAGCCGATTTGTGAGATGGCCCAAATACATTAGACTCCAACGTCAGTTCGCTGTCTTGAAGCAGCGTCTGAAGGTTCCCCCTCCACTCAACCAGTTCACACAGGCTCTCGACAGACAGACAGGTAAGAATTTCAAGTTTTAACATTGAGATTGTTATGGTTCTATGTTAGTAGCAGACTTATGTGTCAGCAGTCAATTCTTGAAAAATTTGTTGAAGATAGTCAAAGGGGCAGTGTTTAACTGAAGCTCCAGTTCCCTTATTTTCATGTATTTCCAAGCAGTGATGCAAACAAACATTTGCTATCTTGAAAAATGTTGAAGACATTTAATCTACCACCTAGATCTCTGAGCTTGGAATTAAATACCAGTCCTTTCACACTGAGTGTGTTGGCATAGGTACAATATGAAACTTATTTCAGCTACCCAGCTGTTCAGACTGTTGGACAAGTACAAGCCTGAGACCAAGCAGCAGAAGAAGGCTCGTCTCGGTGCCCGTGCTGCTGACCGTGCTTCAGGGAAGGAAGATGCGCCCACAAAGCGCCCTCCAGTTGTGCGATCTGGTGTCAACACAGTTACAACTCTTATCGAGTCCAAGAAAGCCCAGCTGGTTGTCATCGCACATGATGTAGACCCAATCGAGGTGAGAACTGCAAAGCTTCTCAATCATTTATGAAAATAATGTGGATAACAGTGAGGTACAATACATGCTGGCTAGTACATGTGGACATCTTGCCTTATCTGTTCAGATCTAATGGACAAGAATATAACTGAAAGGTTACAAATTGTGCTTCTTCATAGGTTTTGTATAACATTATTTCCACACTGAATGTAGCGCTGGCAATGATGATAGACAGTACAAATGAGTACACCGTTGATTATAATCAAATTTTCCGTTCCAATTGGCTGTCTGAGTTTGCGTTCTTAAAGTGTCAGATGTACTTTAGAAGTCGGTGATCAAATCCCCTGGATGTTCTTGGACCTTCATGTTCTACTTTGCTTATGCTCATGAGATCTGAATGAACAGCGTTAGAAACTAACAGTTTTAGACCACTAGTCCTTATAATGCTAACATATAGCAAAACCCTTAAAAGGGCAAATTTCTACTAGTCCTTATGATACCTTAACTATTGGGCAGTTTGGTAAGGACTATAGGACTAGTGCTGATGAATATGGAAATAGGACTCTGATGTAACCCTTGTCGTGATTCTGGAACACAATATGTCCCTTGAACCGCATACCTGTCACAAGCGTTATCTACTATTTTGTTTGTGTGGTCACTCTTTCAATGGGCTGAGTGCATCATACTGAGTTAGAACGTGAAAATCCGGCTTAGATTGGTCTTCAGCAACCCATTCTTGACATTCGAGGCGACCAGCGGGATCAGATGGTCAGGCTCACTGACTTGCTTGGTGCATGTCATCTTATCCCAATTTCGGAGATAGTTGCTCATGATGTCAATAACAGGATTGTCTGGTCCAGACTCGATTATTCACAGAAAGCTGTCATATAGTTGGAATATTTTTGAGTGTAACGGACAACAGACAAAACATAACCTGGATTGATCACTGTTAATGCGATCAGTCACACTGGTTCGCATAAACCAAACCACCCTGATATACTATATTATGGCTTATATTATGGCAGTTGTCTTGCAATGATGGTTATAACTTCTACAGAATGCTTATGTTGATCACAAACTCGAGCTTTTTAAATCTGAGCAAGAACCTGCAGATATATCACCAGTCATAGTGTAAAGTAGCAACTCAAATGGTGCCAGAAGATTGGCCCAGGTTGTGGTCTTGGTATCTAAGTGCAATATGCATGCTTGTCTGGGAATTGCCAAAGGGGTGTATTTCTAAAATAAGCCAATCAGCATGGGGGAAATTTATTTTGCACGACTTTGAATTTTTGGGGAAGGATCTGACAATAGTATGCAGTTTGTGCAAGAATATTTTTTAAAACAAGTACAAATTTGGCTCCTTAGCTTCATTTTCAGTAGAATTTAGTGTTATATGTACTATTAGCTGAACTTTTTAGACTGAAAGGTTTAACTAGGTTTTTGCTTCAGACTTTGCTAAATTGGAATTGTGGCAAAATTGGAATTTTCTGACTTAAATTCTCACGAACCCTGGACTTTTAAGTGACATAGTAGTTTTCATGAAGGTGAATCTCCATGTTTGTTGAATTAAGATCTAGACTTATGTTCAAATTTTAGTCACTTTGCATCATTGTCATCAATAGTCTACACTTTCTTCACATGGGTTACTGCGGGGCGGGGGGAATGAAAACTCTTGAATGGTTGCGATGATGAAGCTTTTATCCATTATTCGCAGTTTCCACAGAGAGGGTGACACCTCAAAGATGGCAAATTCCTTCCTTGGATGTCTGAGCAACCATTTTAAGAATTGTCATTATGTACATGAGTAAGAGGCGACTAACGGGATCCGGTGGTCAGGTTCGCTGACTTGGTTGATGCATGTCATCTTATCCCAATTTCAGCGATAGATGCTCAGTGGATTGCCTGATCCAGACTAGATTATTCACAGAAAGCTGTCATATTCAGTATAGTTGGAATATTTTTGAGTGCAACGAACAACAGACGAAACATACTCCGGATGTATCACTGTTAATGGAATCAGTCACACTGGTTCGCATAAACCAAACTGCTTTTTACACGCCACCCTGATATGCTCTATTATTGCTGATTATGTTGTGAAACATTCTAAATGTATGGAACATAAAAGGGCAAATTGTATTTTTTATAGAACTACACATTAGTTGACATTAAACATCTGCAGTTGTCTTGCAATGATGGTTATAACTTCTACAGAATGCTTATGTTGATCACAAACTCGAGCTTTTTAAATCTGAGCAAGAACCTGCAGATATATCACCAGTCATAGTTTAAAGTAGCAACTCAAATGGTGCCAGAAGATTGGCCCAGGTTGTGGTCTTGGTATCTAAGTGCAATATACATGCTTGTCAGGGAATTGCCAAAGGGGTGTATTTCTAAAATACCCCACATGGGTACAATGTGTGAAGCCCATTTCTGGTGTCCCCCGCCGTGATGTTGCTGGAATATTGCTATAAGTGGCGTAAAACCATACTCACTATTTCTAAAATAAGCCAATCAGCATATGGGGGGGGGGGGATTTTATTTTGCACGTCTTTGAATTTTTTGGGAAGCATCTGACAATAGAATGCCTAGCAGTCTGTGCAAAAAACATTTTCAAGTACAAGTACAAATCCTTAGCTTCATTTTCAGTAGAATTTAGTGTTATATGTACTATTAGCTGAACTTTTTATACCGAAAAGTTTAACTAGGCTTTTGCTAAATTGGAATTTTCTGATTGAAATTCTCACGAACCCTGGACTTTTAAGTGACTAGTAGTTTTCATGAAGGTGAATGTCCATGTTTGTTGAATTAAGATCTAGACTTACGTTCAAATTTTAGTCACTTTGCATCATTGTCATCAATAGTCTACATTTTCTTCACATGGGTTACTGCGGGGGGAATGAAAACTCTTGAATGGTTCAATGATGAAGCTTTTATCCATTATTCGCAGTTTCCACAGAGAGGGTGACACCTCAAAGATGGCAAATTCCTTCCTTGGATGTCTGAGCAACCATTTTAAGAATTGTCATTGTCTACATGAGTAAGAGGCGACTAACGGGATCGGGTGGTCAGGTTCGCTGACTTGGTTGATGCATGTCATCGATTCCAATTGCGTGGATAGATGCTCATGTTGTCAATCACAGGATTGTCTGGTCCAGACTCGATTATTTACAGACCGCCGTCATATTGCTGAGTGCGGCGTTAAACAACAAACAACATTGTCTATACGACATGGTAGAGCATGGTTAAACAGTTTCAGTGAGGAATCCTTTACTTGACATTACTTACTGTTCTTCTGGTAAATAGTGAGATTGTCTATGTGAATGATTTCTGCTGTTGTCAACAAACATCGCTGTTCATGAATTTCTTAAAGAAGGAAATATTAAGTTAGTAGCTTGTCTGGCACAGTTCTGATGACAAACCAACACTGCTAATATTTATTATTCAGGGTTTTCTGCCAATCATTAATGTGCATCAAGTATTCACAAGAGCATGGTTTCAATGCAGAAAATATTTGAGCGGTCTATGCGAACATTATTGAATTAATCTTTATCAGTGATTTGAAAAGTCAGTCTTTACTAAGTTCATGTCATTCGTAAGAGATGACTTGGTTGATGCATGTCATTGTATCCAAATTGTTAAGATCGATGCTCATGTCAATCATTGGATTATCTTGTCCAGGCTGAATTATTTACAGATCGATGTCATATAGCTGGAATATTGCTGAGTGCTGTGTTAAGCAACAAACAAAACATCATTAGTAATATTACTGTAGAAGTTCATTGATTGATGTGAATGTCATGTAAGAATTAATGTTTTGCATGCCATTGTTTAGTATGGCTGGACCCTCCTATCTATGACAACAGTTTAACTGAAATTTTATTTCCACGGAGTTGATAGAGCTTGTTTTCTTGCCATGATGTTACTCGAATTTCTTCACCAGAATCCTCTGTTGAAAACATGACCTGCTGAGCAAGATTACCAGCCCCTATGTTAGTCTAAATACTATAACTGTACTGTTGTTGATCGGATTACCAGCCCCTATGTTAGTCTAAGTACTATAACTGTACTGTTGTTGATCGGATTACCAGCCCCTATGTTAGTCTAAGTACTATAACTGTACTGTTGTTGATCGGATTACCAGCCCCTATGTTAGTCTAAGTACTATAACTGTACTGTTGTTGACCGGATTACCAGCCCCTATGTTAGTCTAAGTACTATAACTGTACTGTTGTTGATCGGATTACCAGCCCTTATGTTAGTCTAAATACTATAACTGTACTGTTGTTGATCGGATTACCAGCCCCTATGTTAGTCTAAGTACTATAACTGTACTGTTGTTGATCGGATTACCAGCCCCTATGTTAGTCTAAATACTATAACTGTACTGTTGTTGATCGGAATACCAGCCCCTATGTTAGTCTAAATACTATAACTGTACTGTTGTTGATCGGATTACCAGCCCCTATGTTAGTCTAAATACTATAACTGTACTGTTGTTGATCAGATTGATCTTCTCTGCAGTTGGTGCTGTTCATGCCGGCGCTGTGCAGGAAGATGGGCGTCCCCTACTGTATCGTGAAGGGCAAGGCTCGTCTTGGGCGTGTCGTACACAGGAAGACGGCTACATGTCTAGCTCTCACCACTGTCAACTCGTAAGTCATGCACTGAAGTAATGTTTAAAAGTTGTTGCTAGCAACAGGGATTTATCTACAACAAAGTGGCAGATGTTGTGCCTGACATCTGCAGCAAATGCCCATGAAACATCCCAAATTGCAGCGTAATTTCACATTCATGTTATATGACTTTGTAGAGGCAACTTGTATTTCACTGATAGGACCATTAAAGAGGAAGATGCTGAGCTTGACTTCATTGCATTAAATGCATTGTTAAATACCTGAATTAAATAAAATACAATTTTAAAAATCCCAAATTTGAACAAAATGTATTTTGTCCCGAATTTAATTTGTAACAGCAGTCTTTACTTAGAATAGAAAGTAGAATTGTATGTTTCCAAGCTGTGATGATGTCAAAATTTGCTATCTGGAAAATGCTGAAGACATTTAATCTACCACCTAGATCTCTGAGCTTGGAATGCCTCTTGTTTTTCAATGATTGATTTCTTTTAGGTGTACTACATGTTTATTCCTGAATGCATTTATTTTTACAGAGAGGACAAGAGTCAACTTGGCAAACTTGTAGAATCAGTGAAGACAAACTTCAATGAAAGGAGTGAGGAGGTAAAAATAATTGCTCATTAATAATGCCCTTAATCCAGCGTGCTTCAGCTAGTGGTCCCTATCATGATATTCCTGGAAAATTGCTGGATGTTGTTACACTACTTCATTATGACATGGCAGTGTTTAAATTAGGCATGGAAGTCGAGGGGTCCTTGTCAGAACCCTAATAGTAGAAGGTAAAGATTTATGGTGTCACTAGATTCAAACTAGAGCAAACGTAAAGGACTCCCCTTATTTTCGAACACTGCATAGTTAATAGGGAAAGGGTGAAGTGGTCAAGGGATTCAATACTGGTTTTGGCGCTTGGCAATGATGATAAACCGTTTGAATGAGTACACCGTTGATTATAATCAAATTTTCCGTTCCAATTGGCTGTCTGAGTCTGCGCCCGTTAAATGTGTTTGATGTACTTTAGTTCCCATGGTTACCCTTGACTAAAGAGATACTTGACTGCTGTGATCTCTACTTGCTCTTGTTGAAGAAAGTGGACAGAATATATGGGGCAGTTTGTTTGCCTCATAAAGCATGTGCACGTCTTGCCGCAATCCCCCTATAGATACAGTATGTGAAGTTAAACCCTGGTGTAAAACCATACTCACTCATGTTACCATGGTGACTAGTATTTGAAAGCTGATGTCACTGATAACATAAGATGCAGTATTTAAAGGGAGCATGAAAGTTGGTGTCCTTGTCATGGCCCTCATGTTAAAAGTTCATGATTTGGGGGTTCCTTAGATTCAAATAGGAGCAAACCTCAAGGATCCCCGGCCCCTCCGTTAGTTTCGAACACTGACATGGAACTATGAATGCAGAGCCAGTTTAGCAGTTTGTAAGGCCCTTACAAACTGCTAAACTGGCTGTATACTCCTAAGAGATCTGATAATGCCAAAGGAATATACACTGATTTGTTAACCAGGGCCACGTTCCACATAGTGGTCTTAGCGCTACGATTATGGTAAATCTATGTTAAAGTATAGGAGTAATGGTCATCTTAGCGCTGAGATCGCTTTGAGGAAGTGGGTCCAGGATAATATTTATAGCGGTATGTGTTGTGTGGAATTGACGTTAGTTGAATGTGCATCATCACCGTTGTTGTGGAATGCACTGTAGGTTGTCGACATCTCTTAAGAACATTCTGCAGTGATGATCTACTTTACCTGACAGTTCATGAAGAACATACATTTGAGCTTTTTAACCCTGAGCAGATGTTCTAAGTGATCGCCAACATTTACCCAGCATTGATGCTGTCAGTTTTATCTGTGAGGGCTAGGAGCATGGTGATTAGTTTTGACTGCTCCTGCTATCTTCAGCAATTACAGTTTACAGTTACTTCCCTTGCAGCGTTGGCAATTTTGTAGTTGATTGGACAGCGTTACAGTGACTAGGCCACCCTCCAAATATTGACTATCATAATTAAAGTATACATGTACATCAGTCCTTACTCTTCTTTTGTAGAAGGGGTCCCCTAAGAACTCTAAGTAGCAATATTAATTGAATTAATGAATTTAATCAGTTTAAAGTAATTTAATTAGTTTCAACCTTAATAACAAGGCTCTGTTTGGTTTTAAAGTCGATTATGTTTAAAGCAAAACTTTTAAACCAGAGCTACAGGAGACGAAATTTCAATGTTTCAATTACAAAAGAATTGGCAGCTAAAACTGATCGAATAGTAACCAATAATGTCGTGAGTTTGTTAGCATATGGAGGCGATGGGATAGCCTTGGTGTTAACCCTTTTGCTCATTATACTAAAGGCCTGGGTTTGAGTTAGTGAAAGTGAAACGAGGAATTCTGAAGTGAAAACCAGAGTATCTTCCCGTTTATTTTGTACACAAAGCTGTGATGTCACTCTTCATTGTATATGATCAACATGATTCACTCCTTGGCTGTGTCTGAGCTTTGTCCCTGCACAAACTAGGTACATGGGGCCCAGTCTTCATTGTTAGGTAAGACTTGAGTGCTGGAGCAGTTCGTCAAATCTGTCAGAACGATTATGGGAAAAAAAAAATAGTTATCTGCATAGCAGTTAGTCTCCATATGATAACATGGCAGATAGTACATAAGATACAAACTAGAGAAAAAGAACTGCAAATTGGTCCATTTAATCTGACTGGCTATCATTTTTAAATAGTATTTAGGAGGCTACAAAAACAATACAATTAAATAGGTGCTGGTCATTTCCTCTAAAGTGGTGATCAGCTGCTAGTGATATCGTACAACATGTGGGAGGATGTGTTTTTAATTAGAAGATACAATGTGAAATGTCAGAATTGAAAGTGCTGGCTGTGATGATTACAATGAGGATGAATATTACTGATTTTAATCAAATTTTCCGTTCCAATTGGCTGTCTGAGTCTGCACTTACAAAAAATGGATGTCTTTGCAATGGGAAGCATTTCCTAGTTTTAGTAGATCGACATGGCTGACTGTAGCATGTTACCTTTTGTTTTGAAGTCAGTATTATGGGAACCACACAATTTCGGTAGCTATAGAAGCAACCAATAAGTGTTACATGGAGGATTTGTTGTTACCTGCTTTAGCAGTCCTCATGAATAAAGGTCCTTCATAGGTATTTAATAGTTACTTGGACCTTTTAATGGATAACAAGTTCTGTATTCGTGGTGTTTGTAAGAACATTTCAGGGCTACTGCTTGACCCATCATCAGAATTTTCAACAGTACAAATTTATGCAGACATGGACACTGTTCTACAATTGTTTACAAACTCCTCAGCAATATTCCAGCTATATGATGGCTATCTGTAAATAATCGAGTCTGGACCAGCCAATCCAGTGATTGACATCATGGGCAACTAATTAAGACCTATTCTTCCCCGGATCTTCATGGTACCACTGTTCTACAAAGCAGTATTGACACTGACATTGTATGGGAGAATGCCATAATGCTGAGATCGCTTAGGGGGAACAGGACCTCTGCCTTCGTCCACACAAAGCAGTGATGTCACTCTTCATTGTATATGATCTTTATGATTCACTCCTTGGCTGTGTCTGAGCTTGTGTGGACTACTAACACATCTGCAGGATGATAGACAGTAGGACTTGATGTATGATGTATAGTATTGATACTTGCTTTTGAAAATAGAGTACAGACTTTTCTAGTATATTAAGTTAATCAGAGGTTTCTCAGTCATAACCACTCTCCAATGTCATATGGTTGTCTCGCTGTGGTGATTCCATGTTATGAATGGCAGATTTGGTGGCTTGTCTGAATGCATGTTGTTGCACCATGATTGCTTGAATTGTTAATCATGCCAATACTTGTTTGTCTGACCCAGACTCATCAATTAATTTGAAGTGATATGCCATGTATTGCTGACAATTCGTCTTCAGCAGCCCATGTGAGAGCTGTGTAACAGGATTGGATGGTCAGGTTCGCCAACTTGTTTGATGCATGTCTTTTTATCCCAATTGCGTAGAATGATGCTCATGATGTCAATCATTGGATCGTCTAGTCCAGACTCTATTATGTACATATATGCTTTCATATAGCTGGAATATTGCTGAGAACAGCTTTGTACAACAAACACAACAAAACAAAAAAAATACTTACAGAACGGAATATTGGTGAGTACAGTGGCTTTACAGACTGGGAATCCCACTATTTCCTGATATGTACGACTGAAATATTCAAATTATTTTCCTTTCTTTCAGATCCGCCGACACTGGGGTGGTGGTATCATGGGAGCCAAGTCACAAGCAAAGAGGGCCAAGTTCGAGAAGGCACGCGCAAAGGAGCTGGCACAGAAAATGATGTAATGCGCGAAAAATGTACATCAGAAAATAAATTAAGGGAAAAAATATATATGGTGTTTTCATTTGGTGTAAAGATACAGTATTGATGTGTAATGTGTATTAGACTAACATCTAGTCTCTGAAATGAACATATCGTACAGAAAAAAACAGTTGTTCAGTTATCTTAATAAAAGGGAGCCCAGTGACTCTTCATTTTCAGATACAGATACTGCAGTAATCTAGACTTGCCAAACATAGACTTGCATGGGCTACACTTAATGTTCCCTGTCTACCAGGAGTGATATTCCCCACTATTCAAATCACAGCAATAAGACATAAGGTGATCAGGACTACACAATGCCAACTGGGTGGTTTTTGCAATAGATTTCACAGTATTTGCTACTTCAGTTCAATTTTAAATTTTTGAAAACCCTGTCCATTCTTTTTGTTCACAACTTGTGCAGAGTTGTCCCCCTTTGCGATGTCCCACAGCATATTCTGATGCAGTCACAGCTCATCTCCCAAATGAGATCAGCTTTTGATCGGGTTGATTCCTATGGGTAATCTGGTGCACACACTCTTGTTGGTGGCAATCTCTTTACAATCGGATCTTTACGCCCATACCATGTCTCTGAGTGAAGAAATACCTCCATAGAAAGTTGGGTCTGGTGAACTTCTGTCAGCCACTGTTGAGGCTTCTAAGGATCTCCAAGCGAAGCATTCAGACAGCAATATAAAGAAAAGCAGCAGGGAGCAAAGAAACTATGGAATATGTACACACTTAAAATATATATTGCCACACAAATTACAAAGACACCTTAAAGGCCACCATGCTTGAAAGGGATCGGGTGGTTGGGCTCGCAGACTTGGTTTGATGCTTGTCATCGTATCCCAATTGCTCATGATATCAATCACTTGATTGTCTGGTCCAGACTCGATTATTTACACATCGCAGTCATATAGCTGAAATATTGCTGAGTGCTTTCAACTACAAACAAAGACAATCCCCATTAAGTTGCATCATAATAAGAACAGGGCATATTTCAATGGAACCAAACCGTAAATCATGCAGAAAATCCACTGAAAATGTATCAGATCCCTAGGCCTGCTTCTGAGGGTGTATATCGTTGCTGAATACTGTGAAAAGCGGCGTTAAAACTCACTCACTCACTCACTCACTCTGGCCCACTGCATCTGCGTATTGTATTGAATAATCAAAAAATTTAGAACTCGCAATTAAATTTTCAGATTTGTTCACATGAAAGATAATGATCGGTCGTTCCATCTCTTCCCCCGCATGTTCAAACAAGGACACAGACGACCATGACAGTACAGCAATGTTATACTGCCTCAAACAGTCAGTTATACAAAACGTTCAAGGTGTGGGCAGGCGCTATCCTGCTGCAACGTGACGTTGCATTTGCACAAAGGGTAGAACATGATCTCGAACGATGCCGTCCCTGTGGCGTACGTCATTCAAATTGCCTTAGCCAATGACGAGTTGTGTTTTGCGCGACGCCTGGTCCATTCCATGAGACGAAGATGTGTTGCTTGCTTTGCAACCACACACACGCTATTGATTTTTAAATCGACATTTTGGCATGTTCATGTTTTTTAAGAAATCACGCATTTTCTGAAGTCAGTATGGCAAATTAAACCATTTGAACACTTACAGGATTATTTTATCTGATTTGGTAAAAAACATAACTTTGCATTAAATCTTATTCAATGTTACAGGAACTTGTGTTGTGCAGTATGTGTTGTTTTTTCTACCCCTTTGTCTTCTTTTGGCTGTCCAAGAGCTGCTGTCACGTCATCATGCGACTCGAAATGGGTTCCGGCTACAACCTTCTTACGTTTGGGAACAGATCGAAGTCTGACGGAGCCAGTTCAGGAGAATAAGGCAGGTGCTGAAGGAGTTCAAAGACACTTCGTGGACTGTAGTCATGGCAATGATTTGTGCACTGACGTACTGTCCTGATGTAAGAGCACCCCTTTCTTCAGCTTCCCGCGGCTCGTAGTCTTAATTTCAGCCCGTAATCGCCCCAATAGTTGTAGCATAACACGCTCCATTTATTGCACTATGTATAGAAAATACTATTATATTGTAAATAATTTTTACTGTCTATCACAGTCTAAACATATACTCTTAAAAAAAGAAACGCAATATGTATATTTTTGGCCATAAAAGCAAAAATAGCGAACCAAGAGGTGCAAAATGAAGAGGTTTAATGTGTTATAGTGTCAGTGACAAATTTCCCGGATCAAAATGATCACAACAAGGACCTGCCATGAAAAAAACGCACCCAGTGCATTAACAAATGGGCCATGGTGCTGCACGTACTTCAGCAGCACTATGAACGGTATTAAAGAGCAGGGTTTTTTACAATCGAACAGTGACAGTTCAACAACATACCAAGAAGTGCAAAGTAACAACTTCAGGGGAATCCCGATCAGTTGCAGCCAGGGTTTTCATTGTAGCGCCCAGCACCACCACAAGGCTATTGGATCGGTTTCAACAGTATGGGCCAAGGGCCAACAGATGATTGGCCAAGGTCGGGACGACCTAGAGAAACCAACCCCGCCCAAGATCCGACTGCGCCACCTACGCGAAAGGACGACCACAGCCACCTCAACCCTACCCCAAATACCCGGACTGCGCAGAATCTCCGACCAGATCGTACGAAACCGTTTAAGAACAGCAGGTCTACGAGCAAGACTGTTCGACGCGTCATAGTGAGTCGATGACAACAACGAGTGCATTGGTGTCGTCAACACAGGGTATGGCCTCAAATGCGATGGAGAGATGTCTGGTTCAGCGACGAATCAAGCTTTCTCCTCCGTCGAGGGGATGGAAGAGCACGGATGTACAGACGTTGGGGAGAATCAATCAATCAATCAGTTTATTCGGTAATAAGGCCTCAGGCCCACGTACATATATATACAAATTAGTTTCACATCAAGTGCTGCATGAAATAATATTTACAGGTAAGAAGAACGAAGACAGATAGCATTTTTAACATAATTGGCTAAGTTCTCAAGGTGGTTTACATCAGAAGAGTTTAACATTCTAACCAGTGTGTCTTTACGATTATTACCAGTAATGAAGTCTAAATATGGGAAATATTTTGAGCGAATATCTTCATAAATGGGGCAAACAAGAATGAAATGAATTTCATTTTCAACTGCCCTCAACTTGCACAATGGACAAAACCGGAGTGTCTTATCGATGCCATCCCTCCTTCCTGTGTTGTGCATACTTACCAGTTCTCCAATACGTAAAAGGGTAAGCATACGTCGCTTTTCTTTTGATAACACATTTAATAGATACGGTTCAAGTGATAATAATGTCTTAAATAATGAATACAGTTCTAATTTCGAGCATCCAGACAATTCAGAATACCATGTTTGTGCATGACAGTCCTTAACCCTCAGTCTAAACTCACTTATAAAATATTCAGGATCACCAGCACCTTGAAATTCCCACACATGTCCGAAGCCATGAGAATATAACATATTCTTAATAGCCGAAACCCATGTATTCCTACCAACGGCATCAAACCTAACTAACATATCGTAAACCCGTTTTGGAAATCTCTCTTGAGACATATTAAGAAGCTTAAACCAGTATCTTAAACATCTTGTGTAAGAATCAATATAAATACCGTATCGACCACACTCTCCGAGCACTGCAACATTTGTAGATTTGGAACCGATACCCAAAACAAATTTACAAAACTTTGCTTGGAAACGTTCGAGAAACAACCATTTATGAACCCCCCAAATCTCTGAACCATATAAAATAATAGGTTTAATCTGAGAGTCGAACATTTTAAACAACACTTTGGGAGCGATATTTCGAAGTTTATAACTAAGCTGTTTTATAGGAATTAAAGCTTTACTTGCTTTCAAAACTAATGCCTGAACTGTTTTCGACCAACACAGCCTGTTTGAAAATATAATACCCAAATAACTGTAATATGTAGAAACCTTGACAGGCATACGCCCCAGTTTCCATTTCTGGTAGATATCAGTTTTATCCATGTTAACTTTTAGACCCCATTTGTTACAAAATTTGTGTAAAACATCAATCTTCTTCTGTAGTTCAAGAACTGAATCTGCAAAAATACACAAGTCATCCGCATATAAGAGAAGAACCAATTCCAGTAAATCCTCGTGTACAAATATCCCTCTACCACCACACTGCTGGATGTCCTCTTCCAACTGGTTTATGAATAACGAAAACAAAAGGGGACTTAAAACGCACCCTTGTCGCACACCACTGAGACTGTTAAAATAATCTGAGATGCTTCTCTTTGAAATTTAACACAAGCGAGAGTTTTAGAATAAATGTCCTGTATGATAGTAAATAGTTTCCCATGAATTCCTTTTGAATGCAGAACAAACCAAAGAAGATCCCTGTTAATAGAGTCGAAAGCTTTCTGAAAGTCTATGAACATACAGTAAAATCTTCCTTTTGACTTAGACAAATATTTCTGCACTAATGATTGAAGAATAAACATGTTATCCACTGTGGAATATCCTTTTCGGAAGCCAGCCTGACATTCCGGGAGCTTATCATATAACTTAACAAAATCCTTTAATCTATTATTCAAAACCTGGGTAAAAACCTTACCACAAATATCCATCAAGGAAATGCCTCTATAATTGTTAACAACATGAACATTACCTTTCTTATGGAGAGGGAAGATAATACTTTTAGACCATTGATCTGGAAAACTACCTCTGCATAGAATGTTGTTAAAAAGAACTAGAAGATGTGGAATTAAAACATCACTGCCATACTTTATCATCTCTGGTAAAATACCATCAGGACCAGCTGATTTACCACATTTGAGGGAATCTATGGCTTCTGAAACCTCTTTAGCCGTTATATCTTGATTTAACAAACTGTCAACACCCTCATCGTTACACACATGACAATTCATGCTATTTACTGGATGCTCTGTAATAACAGCTTTGCAGAACGCAACAAAATCCACATCAGTTACATTATAAGTAATATTCAAAACAGTTTTAAAGTAATCAATCCACTGAGAAACACCAATACTGGGTGCTGTTACGGGTGGCTTCCGTAGGTGAAATTTCAGTTCGGACCAAAATGTTTTTGAATTTCTCTTATCATTACAGGAGTTAAGAATATTTACAATAGCAGATTCTTCAAATACATCCTTTTTTTGCCGGCATATTTCACTGAATCTATTGCGGACAACATGAAAGTTCTTTAAAGTATATATATCTCCACTAATTCTAAACATGTCTAACTGTTTGTATTTGTAGCGTTTCATATTTTCACATTCTGCATCAAACCACGGCGAAGAAGCACACCTGCTAATGTTAGTGTTACGATTGTTGCTTACAGCCATACCACTGTCCTCAGCACTCTTGAATTATAGATGTCAAATGTTCAGCTTTTTGAGAAGATGTAGAACACTGAGATATATCTCCAACTGGCATGTCAAGTAATCTGTCTTTCAAAGATACACAAAAAAGTTCAACGTTCTGAGAGCGCCATATATATTTCGGTATTGAAACACTTTTTTCTATTTGATCTGCAGGTTTTATCACATTAGGGTTACACTTAAGACTACAAGTAACTGGGAAACGGTCTGATTCAGTACGTGTCTGAACAGTAAAGTCTGATAATGAATAAAATAAATCAGTTGAAGCAACAATATAGTCGACAACGCTGGCCCCAGTGTTTGCAAAACAGGTGAATGGTCCATGTGCATCGCTGGTAAAACGCCCATTTAGAAAGTGAATCCCGTATGTGCAACAGAAAGCGATAAGCTGTTTTCCAAAGTCATTAACGTAAGCGTCTCTCGATTTCCTTAGAATTGAGAAGACGTCACTTTCATAGTTCATGTCACGTAAACATGGAATGTAATCAATATCGTCATCACATAAGATATAGTCAGGCAGTAAACCAATGCGTGCGTTAAAGTCTCCTGCCATCATAACATGAACGTCTGGGTAATCTCTTAGCATTTCTAGTAAACAGTACTCTAAATAATCAATACCTTTGAGTCCTCGGGTATCTGTCACCAAAGAGCTATTATCAGGGTGAATGTAAACAAAGCACACAAGAATATCCTTCTGAACATCAATGAAACTTGAATCTAACACAAGAAATATACAGTCACTAAATGAAGTGTTCACGTGTTTTATCACATTAGTTAATGTTTTCCTCACTAAGACAGCCACGCCGCCTCTATTGTTGTAGTCACGCTTGTTCAAATACACTGAGTACTGTTCAAACGAGCTTTCTAAGCTTTCCTTTGAACAACTTTACCAGGTTTCCAGATATGCAAATAAATCATAATTTTCGCAAAAAACTGACAAAGCTAGAGTTATTAAGTTTATTCCTCAAACCTTGCAAATTCCATGACATGAACGAAAGACATCCACGCGGATCCCGGCCATCCTCCTAGCTCTCAGCAGTATCGTGCAGAGTGTCGCCTTCCCGCCTCTCGATCAGCGCGTGTGCACGCGGTTGTGTTTTGGCGAGCTGTACAGGGGAGTTTGTTTCCAGATCATATGTCATAGTTTTCCCGTTTTCAAATATAAGTTTATCAAATCGCAACCGACACCTCTCACCACGTTCTCTAGCGTCAACCATCAGCACTTTGAGGTGTTTGCGTTTCTGTCGGACAGCATAGGAAAAGTCCTCGGATACCGAATAGCCAGTGTCTTTCAAGAGTTTTGATTTGCCAAGTACAGCTGATTTTACATTAAAATCCAGAAATTTGACAATAATTGATTTACCCCAGTTAACACGATGAGCTCTTTCAATAACCACGTCAGTATCAATCTCCATAGTGTTTTTCAGAATTTCTCGCACACAGTCTTCACAATCTTTCCAGGTTTCTTGCTGTTTAACTTTCGGTATACCGTGGAACAAGAGATTGTTTCGTCGACTTTGATTTTCGAGGTTGTCCAGTTTCGTAGTGAGTGTTTCCACTTCTTTTCTCAAGGATGTATTTTGTTTCTCCAAATGACCACATTTTGAGTTCAAATCAGTAACCGTTGTTGCAAGTGAAGTTAGCGTTGCAGTCATCGTTGATAGTTTGGAAGACAAATCAGTCTGAACTTTATCAACTTTAGTTGAAACCAACTTTATTTCAGACAGTAGTCTTTCAAAGTCAGATTTATCAATATCTGTCATACCTGTTGACGTTGACTTTCCTTGTTTAGCCCCACTGTTTGTTCTTGTCTCAGGACCAGGATTAGGTTCTATCCCAGAACATAATAACAGCATCTGCACAACAGATGGGGAGAACGTTACGCCGGTAACTGCGCACAGGAAGTGGACAGGTTTGGTGGGGGTAGCGTTATGATGTCGCGGATATCTCATCATGGCAGGTCAGGTTTGGTCCACATCCAGGGCAATCTTACGGCCCAACGCTTCATCGACGAAATTCTCCTACCACACGTCCTCCCAATTCCAGCCAACGGCAACGGTGTATTCCAGCAGGACAACGCTCGACCGCATACAGTACGGATCACAAGAGCATGTCTACACAACAACAACGTTGATGTTCTCCCCTGGCCCTCTAGATCCCCGGATTTGAACCCGATGGAGCACCCGTTGGATGAATCTGATAGACGGCTACGCCGACGTCAACCATAACCCCAGACGTTGCAGCAGTTGGCTTTTGCATTGCAGGCCGAGTGGGCTGCCATTCCCCAGAATGTGATTCGCATACTCGTCTCTTCCATGGGCAGGAGATGTCAGGCCGCTATCGACTCCAACGGGGACATACGCGTTATTGATGGTAGCAGACCTTCACCTTTGACTTTTCCTAATGTACCGATAACTGAGATGACTACAATCACCAAGTGCTCTCTCCACGACATTTTGACTCAATACCTTGTACGGTTTCTCGTATAAATGTATTTTCCTACCTCACACAAATCTGGCTTTGCGTTTGTTTTTTTGGAAGAGTATATATCAACATATATTTAATATTATATAATAATCTAAATCTGGCTTCCTTCTGTGAGTTAAGTAATATATAGCTACAATGAAAGTACATAGCAATAATAAGAGACGACTAACGGGATCGGGTAGTCAGGCTCGCTGACTTGGTAGATGCATGTCATCGTATACCAATTGCGTGGATCGATGCTCATGATGTCAATAACTGGATTGTCTGGTCCAGACTCGATTATTTACAGACCGCCGTCATAGAGCTGGAATATTGCTGAGTTCGGCGTTAAACAAGAGACAAGCAAGCAAACAGCCCCCAAATCAGATCTAAGATCATCTTAGTTCTCGCTACCGCTAAACAAAGATCTAAGGACGTCCCACATTAGTGGGCACGTCAGACCGACCTTTCGCGAACTTTGACCGACCAATGGAATGACTAACAAGAGGTCGACAATAGCCAATCAGAAGGCAGCTTAATCGAGCTTTGCGGCACAAGTTTCAAACTGGCGACGACGCTTCGAAACATATTTTGACATATACTCGATTAAAAAAATAGAAACTGAACAAAAGAACATTCTGGAATGGCTAATAGATGGTGTAGATTGTATGAATACAGACATGAAGCCCATAACTGTCGTTCGGAATACCCTATGTGGTTTTTTTCGAGGTTGCACGATTAAAAATCACATTCCAACTGTCACTTCATGATCTGATAAGCGATGCTGTGATTGGTCAGATGAAAGGTCGTTCTTACATGACCCGCAATTGGATGTCCTCAGATATTTGTTTAGCGGTAGCGAGAACTAAGTCTGATTATAATCAGATTAGTAAACAACCATAATACTTTGAAGACCATTGTGACGTCATCGGAATTTGTAAACTATATCGACTCGTGTTGATATATAATATTTAATATCAAAGACATCCGGGAGTTTATTTCTCATGGACATGTTTTCAATCAAGAATAGCGACCATATGAATAACCTGGGTCATTGAATATGAACAGTGCTTTCTTCATTATAAACGTTGGTATTGGGGATTTTACTAAGTGCTTATATGCTTCCATATTTGAGAGAGCTACGATAGTAGTGTTAGTGGCGAGCGTCAGCAAACCCGTGATGTACACGTCATCAATCCAGTACATGCGCACTGAAGACGATGCCACATACAGGCGCTTTATTACTGATATTGGTGCCAAGTATGCAAATCCGGAACAATATGGCGGATAGTGGTCGAAAGGAAATTGATTTTTCCTGGGGAGCCACTTTCCAAATGTTTTAATCTTACTTTTTAAATGGGCACTGCACACTATTTGTCCCTTCTTAATTTTCTTGGTCGAAATATAGTTCACTGCGTTTTCAACATTAACGATGACGTCATCATCAATTTTGATGACGTAGTTCACATGTCTGCAATCGTGCACAACCCAGTGATGTCCCATTATATGTTTGTATGTCATATTCTGATATGAATCTGTAAAATTTCCTTGAACAATGTCTTTATACTTTTCCGATTCCGCGGTCAATTTTCGATGGAGACTCGTGTTTAAAGTCTGACCGAGCAAAAACACGAATTCGAACAGAATTCCGGTGCGAGTCCTTTTGTCATGAAGAGAACGTCTGATAGTCTGCCGATTTTCAAAATGGCTGACGGCTGAATGCACCAGAATAATAATTTTTAAGTGTGCTTTGCTAGAACACTTCACTGGTTTCATTGAGAAATGGTATCGATGAAGATTTACAAAAGAGTTCGACATATTTTTACGAACAATGAAATATTTTCTGATATTTTCGAAGTCAGAACTTCTTTGTTTGACACCTGACGAATACATAGATGCGTCCTTTGAATGTCCAATTTTAGAAGTTTTGTTCTTGGAAGGTTTCAGTGAACGTGTATTTTTGTGGTATTTATCTACTACGTCAAAATCTTCCAAAGTGGATTCAAGACGGTCAGCTACAGGTCCAAGAATCAAATCATTGTTGTACTGTCCACCAGTGCCATCAGATCCTGTTTTTGATGTCTTTGGTAAAGACGTGTTTCCAGGCAAGCCACCATTTCCTCCACCCTGGGCGGGATCTCCATTTACCGTATGCTTTGCAAAGTATTGATGACTTAAATCACGTGACATGGGTACTACGTCACTTCCTGTACTGTGACTGGTCCAAGCCACCAATGACAATGCCCACAGAGAGATGTAGACGAGGATGGTGAGCAGGAGCACCGTGGACATGGAACAATGTCGTCGTGACAGCCAGTGAGACGTGTGAAAACCCATGTCTGCACTGCTTCTGAAAGTAGGATTCAAACATATAAGCTTGCCAGTGTTATGATTCTTACAGGGCACGATTTAAGAACTAGACTCAATTTAACCAATACTCACCTACAAAAGAAACGCGAATACCATACATGTTGGTTAATATATGAACAATTACTCATATTCAAGAGATATCAGATTAGCTTAACGCTTTACGAAAATACTGGTATGTTGTGTGAACCGACGCACATGAACGCATCACATGTGACGTCATAGATCCATGACTCAAGATGCACAATTTGTCTCGTGCAGGATTAGCGCGTAAAGTTAGGAAATCGCGTGCAGCATATCGTGATAAGAATAAAGACAGTGTGGTAATTGTTAGTTGACTGATTGTTAGTTTTGCAATTAAAGTGTACACGTTGGAAACATCTCTTCTTACGTAAATACTTCTCTGTATGTTTCTATGGTTCGCGTCGCTATAAGGCTGAATTAATTCCGATGCGACGTTAAATATTAACTCACTCACTCTATGGTTCGCGTGGCTATAAGGCTGAATTAATGCCGATGCGACGTTAAATATTAACTCACTCACTCTATGGATCGCGTTTCTTTTGGCGTGGAGTTTATAAACCAATATGGTTCTTTAACCATTGTCAAGCACCTGTTAGAAGGTTCACTATAGTGTCTGTTCCCATTGTCAAGCACCTGTTGCAAGGTTCAGTATATTGTCTGTTACCATTGTCAAGCACCTGTTGCAAGGTTCAGTATATTGACTGTTACCATTGTCAAGCTTCTGTTGCAAGGTTCAGTATATTGACTGTTACCATTGTCAAGCTTCTGTTGCAAGGTTCTGTACAGTGTCTGTTCCCATTGTCAAGAGGCGTTTAACGGAACTAGCTCATTCAATAAATTGACACATTTTCACAAAGGATTAAGACAATATATGTAAAGTGAATGTTATAGGAATAGGGCTTTTGTATTCAGTATTCAGGTTCAGTATAGCGACTGTTACCATTGTCAAGCATCTATTGCAAGCTTAAGCATAGCGACTGTTTCAGTTTGTCAAGCACCTGTTGCAAGGTTCAGTATAGTGTCTGTTACCATTGTCAAGCACCTGTTGCAAGGTTCAGTATATTGATTGTTACCATTGTCAGGCCCCTGTTGCAAGGTTCAGTATGGCGACTGTTACCATTGTCAAGCACCCATTGCAAGCTTCAGCATAGCGACTGTTTCAGTTTGTCAAGCACCTGTTGCAAGGTTCAGTATAGTGTCTGTTACCATTTTCAAGCACCTGTTGCAAGTTTCAGTATAGCGATTGTTTCAGTTTGTCAAGCACCTGTTGCAAGGTTCTGTACAGTGTCCGTTCCCATTGTCAAGCACCTGTTGCAAGGTTCAGTATAGCGACTGTTTCAATTGTCAAGCACCTGTTTCAAGTTCAGTGTAGCGACTGTTTCAATTGTCAAGCACCTGTTGCAAGGTTCTGTACAGTGCCCGTTCCCATTGTCAAGCACTTGTTGCAAGGTTCAGTATAGCGACTGTTATCATTGTCGAGCACCTGTTGCAAGTTCAGTGTAGCGACTGTTTCAATTGTCAAGCACCTGTTGCAAGGTTCTGTACAGTGTATGTTCCCATTGTCAAACACCTGTTGCAAGGTTCAGTATAGCGACTGTTATCATTGTCAAGCACCTGTTGCAAGTTCAGTGTAGCGACTGTTTCAATTGTCAAGCACCTGTTGCAAGTTCAGTGTAGCGACTGTTTCAATTGTCAAGCACCTGTTGCAAGGTTCTGTACAGTGTATGTTGCAATTGTCAAGCGGCGTTTAACGTAACTAACTCATTCAATAAATTGACACATTTTCACAAAGGAGTAAGACAATTTATGCAATATCTTGTTCACAAGTAAATGTTATAGGAATAGAGCTTGGGCATCCTTTACAAGTATTATATTAAGCACCACCACCACCACTGCATCTCACAAAGGACCATGGAGACACTGATCGTCGTAAAACAGCACACGGTCACAAAAGCACATGTTACCTGAGCTTAGCTTAACATTTCGAGACATACCAAACGACACTTAAATTTGTCAACCAGAACGAAGCAGAGACAGGCACCTCTTAGCAACAAAATGCCCCCACCCTCTCCTGAATAATATGAATAAAGCTTAAAAAAGCATCTGGGCTTTCCGATGTTTGTGGCTGTTTTTATTAAAAGGTTGTTGTACATGCGCAACGATCCACCATGTCTGCTTGCGAGGACTCACTCAGCCATATCTTACTCTGTAACTTCCTGGTCCCTATACGACAACAGGGACAAGCTCGAATACTCTCTACCCCTTCATCCTTGTCATACTCTGCCCTTCGCAGGTACGTGACTCGAGATAGTTGATATGTATGTGAGTGAGTGAGTGAGTATGGTTTTACGCCGCTTTTAGCAATATTCCAGCAATATCACAGCGGGGGACACTAGAAATGGGCTTCACACATTGTACCCATGTCGGGAATCGAACCCGGGTCTTCGGCGTGACGTGCGAACGCTTTAACCACTAGACTACCTGACCGCCCAAGTTGATATGTACAATGGTTGTTGGCCAATAATTTAACTTAAGCTGCATGGATATCAATGATCTGATATTGTTCAGTGAAGGTCAAATAGCCAGTTCCCTTCCATTTATTTGAACTAGAAATAAAAGCGATAAGTGAAACCGCCTCTTCTGTTTCATATTTAGATCTGTTCATAACGATTCAGAGTGACAAGACTTCATCCACAAGAGGGATGACTTCTACATTCCAATAGTCAACTTTTCCTTTATGTCAAGCAATATTCCAGCAATTCCAGCCTTTGGTGTGTACGTTATTCATTTTATTAGGTACAATTGAGCATAGTCTTTCTAAGAAAATACGGCTCTTGCTCAAAAGTTGGTTGATCAATGATATCACATTCAAGGCCTTAGCAAAGCTTTAAAAACGGTTTATGGTAGAAATGTGGAGCGCCATAAATAATGTCCGATGCAATTCCCTATTTTGACTAGTATCACATTTTTCAGTGACGATTGACTTGCCTTTGCATGTGTTTGTGGCGCCATGAACGACGTGTTGCCAGCTGTAAACAACGTGGACAGAGGGCAGACTTCTTCATTCTTCCAATCTCGCATTAAAAGATGTAGTAGTTGAGTGAGTGAGTGAGTGAGTGAGTATGGTTTTACGCCGCTTTTAGCAACATTCCAGCAATAACACGGCGGGGGTCACCAGAAATGGGCTTCACACATTGTACCCATGTCGGGAATCGAACCCGGGTGTTCGGCGTGACGAGCGAACGCTTTAACCACTAGGCTACCCGACCGCCCTGTAGAAGTTAAACTCCACAAGACAGCGCTGTCTCCGTTGATACTACAGTTTGTAAAATGCTGTTTACAGATATTGTATAGAAAACTCGATTGATGGAAGGTCGTAGGAACGACATATTGTCAAAGTGAGTAGGTTCACGGTCATAGAACGGATGAGGTATTTTCACAAATACCTATATAAACTGTATATGCATGACAAGAGGGCGTGTTTATATACAGTGGTGGTGTCGTCGACACATGCATGATAGCACATGTATGTCACATAGGACACGACAGACATTGATAATTAGGGAGTCTTAGAAGGGACATTGTCGCGTTGTCGCATTGTCGCCCTTACAAAAACAACAAACAAAAAGTGTCAAACTTAACCAAAGCGCGACAATGCGTCATCGCGACATTTTGACCATTTATCGCGTTGTTGCGCTTTTAATATCTTTTTATATACTGAACCGCAAAAGAAACGTCACCCAAAGTAACATTGCATGAAAAGTTGTCATTTAAATATCTGGGTAATTTTTGTCAAAGTTTCTAAAATTTAACATTACCTTGTCCGGAAAAATGAAATTTGATGATAAAAAACCCCAAAGCAGATGACAATAAAACCGATCGCCCAAACGCATCACGTCAACGGCCATGGTAACCCGATGCACGTGAGTTCCGTGCAAATTGAAATGCACATGTTTTCTCCCATTTCCTGCCCTATTAAAATACACCCAGATCGGATAGAATTAATTCGTTATTGAATTGCTACGACATGCCAAGATTGACAAGAAATCAGCGACACCAAGCCCTTGGACGACTGCAAGCTGGACAAACCGCCCGGCAAGTAGCCAATGCATTTCAAGTCCACCTAAGGACCATATACAGGCTCCAGCAACGGTACCAGACCACCAACACTACAGATGACCGACCACGTAGTGGAAGACCAAGGGTCACCACCCGACGTCAGGATCGTCAGATTGTGCGACAGCATCTTCAAGATCGCTTTGTTACTGCTGCGGAAACTGCTCGACAAACCATGGGGACACACCAGCGACACATAAGTGCGGACACCGTGCGTCGACGATTGACGAGCAGACACCTCCACTGTCATAGGCCACACCGAGGACCCATTCTGACACCACGTCATCGCCGGCGCCGCCTTCAGTGGGCAACACAGCACCAGCATTGGCGCCACCAGCAAAGGAGAAGAGTCCTCTTCACAGACGAGAGCCGTTACTGTATCTCAACTGCAGATGGCAGAGAGAGAGAGTCTGGCGACGCCGTGGGTAACGTTATTCGGATGCTTGGGTTGTTGAGAGAGACCCGTGAGGTGGTCCGAGCATCATGGTGTGGGGTATAATTGGTCTTGCACAGAGGGTCGGCCCTGTGGTCTTCCAGAACATCGGTCCAGGGAGAGGCAATAGTGTCACAGCAGCTCGGTACATTGATCAAGTCTTGAGACCACACGCCATACCTTATTTGGCACGTCGCCGCAACCACGAGTTTCAGCACGATAACGCCTGTGCCCACACTGCTAGAGCAACAAGAGACTTCCTCCAGCAGAATGGCATCAGAACCATGCAGTGGGCTGCCCTCAGTCCCGATTTAAATCCCACTGAGCACCTGTGGGACAAGATTCAAAGAGGGCTGAATGACGTCCGACCAAGGCCGACAACTGCAGCTGAACTGCGTCAGGCGTCCCTCAGAGTGTGGGCTCAAGTGCCTATGGCCTTCATCAACCGCATCATCCATTCCATGTATCGACGTTGCACGGCAGTCATCAATGCACATTTCGGACACATGAGGTACTGACTTGTGATGGCATTTTCTCAGAGACTAGTGTTGTGTTTCACTTTAAGAACATTTGACACTTTAATTTCAACCTTGATGATCCGTTTTGCCAAGTTTCATCTTTTCAATCTGTCTCCAAGTATGTTTACAAGTGTTTGGACAAATAAGGTTTCTCATACATCTATCCATGGTGACGTTTCTTTTGCGGTTCAGTATAGTTTACCAGTGGGCGACAATGCGACAAAAAGGAAATTTTTCAAGGTCAAAATATGCATTAATAAGTCGTTATAATGCGCCTCAAAGCGACATATTGATAATGTCGTATTGTCGCGTTTTGGTTAATATTGACACGTTTTGCTAGTTTTTGTGAGGGCGACAATGCGTCAATGTCCCTTCTCGGATTCCATAGATAATCCCATTTATCGCCGCTCAATCAATACACACTTTGCGTGTCAGTCTGACAATCCATTCATGCTTTCAGAGGCCAAGTGCCACCCACTATTGTGTTCGAACTCGGCTGCTGAGAAATGCTACAATGCACTGCATTCAGAAACGTAACTTTGTGAGCTCTGTCACAAGCTTGGCAAGCTTGTATACTGAATAGACTGGGACGAGTCCAAAGTTACTACCCGGGTACCCACACCCCTTTTACCCGACCATACCCGGATACCCGCTGTTGGTGTCAAAAGATAGGTACAGAATGTCCTATTGGGAATAGTTTGACAGTAGCCCTAGCAGAATGTATTCAGATACACGTATAAAACGATGTGGTCATGCATACACTGAAGTTGACTGACGTTTTAGCTTTGTTCAAACATATATAAGTCAGGAGTAACGTGTTCATAGTCATGAAGAAATGCGAACATTAGAGACTTAAAATTGTCTTTAACCATGTAGTTATATAGTGTTTTTTTGTCATGAAACAATACATCAAATGACTAACCACGGGTCCGGGTAGTCCTGTGGGTACAGTACCCATACTGAACATACACTCTTTAAAAAAGAAAAGAAACGCACAGATAGAATTGTAACACAACACAAGAAGGCGGTTTGAGGATTACGTAGTTTTAATGACAATGACATATGTACAAGTCAAAGGAAGTGTGCCGTCCTTCCTTCCTCCCTCTAGATACTCGCCTGTACCTTAGGGTTCTGAGACCAAGTCTGCCGGTATTTGGAAGTCGCCCGGTATATATAGTAATGATGGAATGCGAAGCATTTTGTTTTGCACAGGTACTCAAATTTTTGTGTGGTCAACTTGAGATTAAATTGACCATCAAGTGGTGTCCATGACGAGACACTTAAAATTGTTCCCCTTAAGGTGACATGAAACCACCACTCACTGGTCCACTTGATATGTACTTGACATATCCACGGGGTCAGTCGTATTTGGCAAACACTGAAAGTGTTATGATATGTACTTGACATATCCACGGTGTCAGTCGTATCTGGCAAACACTGATATTGCACTGATATATTCTACAAACGGTGCGTCAAAACGCAGCCATTGTCGATTTGCAATGTCTTTAACGGCATTGTTTTCACACTTGTTAAAAAATGTCATGGAGGAAAAGCAAAATGCACGTGCAAGTTATGGCATTCGTAACTCGTTGTAGTGGCTATAAAAAGGCAAGCATAAGCCAATAATTTGTCATTCAATTGGCAACATTTTCGAAGTTCGAAAATGCCGAGACTCAACACTGCGGATCGGAACATCGCCATAGTAAGTATCCAAAGAGGGGAATCGCAGTCTTCTGTTGCAGGCCACTTCAACGTCCACCACAGCACCATTCACCGCCTTTGTGACCGAAACACACAGTTCAATTCCACAGAAGATCGTCCGAGAACCGGCCGACCAAGAGTAAGAGAATGTCGTTTTGTTGGCTGAACTAACACTTAAATATATATATTTAGTACTTCAAAATAGTTGACTCACAATAAGTGCAAGAAGGGTGAATACAGAGGCGAGTATATATATAAACAGGGGATGGAACTCCCTGCCCCATCATTGTGTCAGTCTCATGTTGTCTACCCGTGAAGATCCAGGGTAGAATAGGTCTTCAGCAACCCATGCTTGCTGTAAAAGGCGACTATGCTTGTCTTAAGAGGCGAGTAACGGGATCGGGTGGTCAGGCTCCCTGACTTGGTTGATACGTCATTTACTACATGTATTGCATCAAACAAGAATTTAACGTGTTCCGCCATTAATAAACTTTATATTTCGCGTGTTTCAAACCACTGGCGGAGAGTGTAGATAGAAGGTGGTATATAACAGATCAAAACTGATCATAAACAATCTATTTGTTCTTCCATAATCCTTCATTGTTCCCCCATGTGTACAAAAGACGCACCAACATGTCTAATATCAAGGTAACTAGGCGATTGTGTTCAGCAGTTTAGTGGCTATGTGTTAAATATGTTCTAAGCATTTTGCTTTCTTCCCGTACTTAATGTCTACAACGAAAGCCACTCGCATGGAATGGTGTTTCGATGACCGCTCTTGTAACTGACCACGATAAAGAACGTATATGAATATATATTTTAGAACAAGTGTTCCCACCCGTTTCATGTTTGACTTACCTGTCGTCAGTGGTCTCGTCGAATAACGCGCGACATGCAATGGCCTTCCGGGCGACCACATGATCCAGTGGTGTTAACTCTTTAAACATTGATAGTTTTGAGGTGTAACACATAAACAGAAATTCTTTGGTACATTTGGTTTCTTTAAGCTTTACCAAAGTAATTGAATTAAGTAACATTGTAATAAGGTATCCAATTTCTCGATTTACAGAAAGAGGTTTTAGTTCCTAACGGCGATTCAAGTGCATCTGGCTGGCACTTGACACACAATGAGTTAATGACGGGTACCTGCAAGCGTAAGTGTTTTGTTTCCTTTGTCACCTGAGTGCAGCGGGTCGTGGGAGGGGGGAGTTTTAGTTTAGCTTCAAACAGTAGGGCTGTTGACTTCAAGTATACGCCCTGCAATCTTTGATGACAGCTGGCTTACATAGACTTGAACTGTCTGACTGAATTTTTTTAGAAGTTGGTAATAACAGTAAAGACGAGATATTGTATGGATGACAACTTCCTTATTCTGTTTTGATGCGACGTTTGGGTAAACTTTATATCCTAGGTAGACGTTGATGCTCTACCGGATATTTCTCTTATGACAACACACAAGTCCGTCTGTGGGTCCACAACGTTTATTCGTGATCTTAATATGTCTATATAACTACATAGTAGTATGGCCAAGCAGGATCTCTGAGGCGTAAGTGAGCCAACCTGCCTAGCCGCTGTCCGAGGGTCAAGTCCCGACTAACAGAAAGCGTACTATCTTTAACCCTCACTGTCAGACTGCAATGTATCGTGTTACGTTACATACATGGTCAGCCTGCAGTATCCCGCACCTCATCCACAAAGTAAAGCTTCAGTGGCCAACCGGCCATTCTCTGGCATTAACTACAACCCGCTGACCCGCACATGACTCTGTGCTGCTGGCCATGGTAATGATACCCCAGCTGCTGTTATAATTTGTATTGGCAGCACTTTGTTTATTTAAATAGATATTATAATCAACTTACTTAATTAAGGGAATATATAAAACGTATATACACTCCCTGTTAAAATATATAGACTCCCTGTTAAAACCTATATACCCTGCCAAACTGCCTATGATATATGCCATTTCTGTAAAGAAGGACGTGTCCCACGTCCTTATAAGGAATTGGGAATGAGGTACGGTGGACAATCAATCAATATAACCACATATTTAAAACAATATGAAATGTATAAACAAGCAAAAGTACATAAAGCAATTTTCTTTCTTTTTTTTAACTGGACAAAATTTAAACTGAGAATTTGATGTAATGTACAGCATTTTGTGTGTGGACCACGTTTGTTTTTTTTTATCTGCAAACACTGCTGTCGAACTGGATACAATTTCACACAGAAATATTTCCAGTAACGACAATATGACTACATACGTACAATGAATACAGTGGTTACATCGATGCATTGCTATCCATACAGACAAGGAAGTTACGCGTTACAAATATACCATTACATGAATATGTACAATTAAAAAAAATGAACAAAGACATTGATGAATATAACAGCGGTTGCTCTGTCTTGTTCTTATTCCCTCTTCTCGTTATTTCCACTCCTCACAAATAACGCTTTCACTTATGCTCTGCTTCACTCACTTTCTTTCATTCTATTTTTCTTGTCAGTTCATAATTCCCATGCGGATAAACACTTCATTCACCCAATTCTACATCTGTCCTTCTCTCGCGCTTACACTTCACCTCTCTCTGTCTCTGTTTCGCACCCACGCTATACCCTCTCACTCTCTGTTTCTCTCTCTCTCTCTCCTTTCCTTTCTCTCTCCCTCCCTCTCTCTCTCTCTCGCACCCACACTACACCTCTCTCTCTCTCTCTCTCTCTCTCTCGGACCCACCCTATCTACCATACATGTCAGTTTTTCTTTTGTATTCTGTCATTTCTTTGTTCATTTATCCTATCAGCAGCTATCTTACTCTTTCACTCTCTCTCTCTCCACTTTACAGTACATAAGACAAGCCTATTCTAAACCAACTTTCAACACACATTTATACTTCAAACAGGATTGACATTTTTCATAAATAGACAACAGCTCACATAGGGAATATATATGCATTCATTTTCAATGATGTATTAAGAATCACATAGGGACAGATAATCGTAACTACTCATTTCCAACCCCCGCTAGCAAAGGCCTATAATGGGTAAGCGCAGTTACTAAGGAACACCAAATGAAAGATAATGAAAGATGATACGTCTGAACACCTGTTAATGGCTAGTAGACATGTGAACATTACATAATGATATTTGAACACTCACAAAATGATGCACTATTCCACAGTCATAATCCATATATTACGTAAAAAATCAGACATCTTGCATAAAATACACTGTTTTTAATGATGTAATTAACTTCAACAAATCGACATCATTGTCACACACTCGCACCAAGGGTACACTTTAATACAAGAACATTAAATCCTATGAGCGTTAATAGACTGTTGATAGGTATGGGTTGAGTTTCGTTAGCACCAGGTTTACAAAAGGGTACATGGTCAAAATGAGGGTGGTGAAAATATGAGCAATACTAAGACATCGTAGCAAGAGGTTTTGATGATACCACATGAACTGGTCAAGAGAACGAGCGTTATCTTCCCATTGGAATCCCATGGAGTCGTTAAAGGGCACAGATTGGGGTCCTTGATGATACATGCAAGGTTGGTATTGTGATGACCTGGGTTGATGAGTTGGGGACTGAGACCCGTGGTTCACATGTTGTGCTTGGGGATATGGTGATGGAATGGATCCTGACTGACATGAATGCTCTTTCTTTGGCCCAGTATCTGATCCTATTGCATTGACATGATGGGTGTTGAGAGTATTGACTTTAACTGTGAGTTCATTTATAGCGGTCATGGTTTCATCAGATCTGGAGTCAGTCCACCCTGACATGGCCTCGGCTATCTCCGCACTATCTGTGACCTGTTATAAGGAGGTGAGGGGCCGTGTCAGGATGAACATGCGGATATTGGGAAGAGCATTACGGAGAATAAGATCTTTGATGTACATGTCTTCATTTCTTTGTAGAAGCTCTGCCTCATGTCTTATGGACTGGAGGAAAGATCGGAAAGGTTCACCTTCCCTCTGTTTTCTGTCCAATAAATCATTTTGTCGAGTTACAAGACCTACTGCGGAAGGTGCATATCTCCGTAAAAAGGCTTGTCTCAACTCAGACCAAGACATAAGTGAAATATTGTTGATACCATCGTGCCATTCAGCTGCGAGATCAGTTAAATAAAGGGGGAATATTTTTGTTTGGTCTTCTTCAGAATACTTTTGTACTGAAGCAAAGTTTTCAAAGCGTTTCAGCCATGAAACAGCAGCAATGGGAATCCTTGCCATCATACATGGAGAGCGGGAGGCGGGAGCAGTTAATTAGTCTTAATAAAGAGGTTCGATTATCAGTGGACGAAGGTTTATCAGCGTGTGGTCTCGGGCGATTGGTCAGCTGACATGTTTCAGGTATTTCAGATTGGGAGGGGGGTGGGGAGGAGAGGGAGCTACACTGTGATGGAGGAGGCAAGTAAGATGGGGGAGTTTGTTGGGGGTCCTGGGGGTGTTGAGGCTGTGGTGAACGAGGTCGTGGTGACCCGGTTGCATACAAGGTTTCCCATCGGGGAGTGAAAATAGTTTCTTGTTGGGTTGAACCATTTCTAGACTGTAAGGACTGGTATACTATGGGAGGACTCAAGACTTCGGGGGAGGCTAGGGGAAGACGTTCATTGGCATTGAGGGGTTTCAGAGCGTAAAAAGTCATTCTTGTTGATTGTAATACAATATATGAAATAATGCTTACCAAAACTGTTCCTACGAATGTCACAAATATGAAGGGCTATAGCACATTAATTACAACAAATTTTCACTGCAAATCACAATGCCTTTGAGGACTGTTTCTTTTGAGATAGTGGCTGGCACAAACACACAGGAATTACCGGAATGAAACAAATGTCTTGGTTAAGTGGAACTTGATGTTGTTAACACAGTGGTCGTCGATGAAAATGTCAGTCTTCGAAATCACCTCTTGATGGTTGAGGGAGGGGTGTGACGAAACAAGGAATCCTGGGTTCTTTTTCTGTTGTATCCTGGAAAAGTTGCTGGTCCCCGGGACGGCTGAAGGGGTTGGCCTTTTAGGATGGTAACAATATCTCCGAGTAAGAACAATGATGACAATAATGATGAGCACAGAATAGCTTGAGGATAGACGAACCAGAATGCTGGTTGTTGGTTGTTGTCGTGATTGTTGTGGACCCCAGACGAAATAACGATTCACTTTGTGTTGACTAACTTCTTTATCTTGTTGCATTGGGTTTGAGGTACCGAGGATCGAAGCTCCACCATTATATCCTAGGTAGACGTTGATGCTCTACCGGATATTTCTCTTATGACAACACACAAGTCCGTCTGTGGGTCCACAACGTTTATTCGTGATCTTAATATGTCTATATAACTACATAGTAGTATGGCCAAGCAGGATCTCTGAGGCGTAAGTGAGCCAACCTGCCTAGCCGCTGTCCGAGGGTCAAGTCCCGACTAACAGAAAGCGTACTATCTTTAACCCTCACTGTCAGACTGCAATGTATCGTGTTACGTTACATACATGGTCAGCCTGCAGTATCCCGCACCTCATCCACAAAGTAAAGCTTCAGTGGCCAACCGGCCATTCTCTGGCATTAACTACAACCCGCTGACCCGCACATGACTCTGTGCTGCTGGCCATGGTAATGATACCCCAGCTGCTGTTATAATTTGTATTGGCAGCACTTTGTTTATTTAAGTAGATATTATAATCAACTTACTTAATTAAGGGAATATATAAAACGTATATACACTCCCTGTTAAAATATATAGACTCCCTGTTAAAACCTATATACCCTGCCAAACTGCCTATGATATATATACCACTGGTATATCTGGGGCCGGGGAGCGGTAGTTGCTTTGCTCGGCTATCTGGGGGCCGGGGAGCGGTAGTTGCTTTGTTCGGCTATCTGGGGCCGGGCAGCGGTAGTTGCTTTGTTCGGCTATCTGGGGGCAGGGAGCGGTAGTTGCTTTGTTCGGCTATCTGGGGC